ACTTAAACCATATGATGTCGTGGTTCACTTTTTTTTAGACTCACCTGGCCTGAAAAATTATATGAGCTATTGCCATGACTTATCGTCTGTCCTTGTCATCCATCTGTCTGTTATCATTAATTTAGAAAGTTGTTCTCCTCTGAAACTACAGGACTAAATATAATTTAACTTTACCTGAACTTTCCTTAGGGAATTTTGTTTGAAAATTTTGTCCAAAATGTAATCCATCAATAAACATGGCCACTGCTTCTAAAAATAGATAATAGGTCAGAAGGTCAAGGTCTATCCTGTGGAATTTTCAAAACCTTTTTTTTTTTATTTATTGCCCTTGACATGTCAATTTTAAGCAAATTTCAAATTTGGTTAGTATCTTGAAAACTATTATAGATAGAGAGAAACTTAAAATAGTAAAAATGACTAGAATTTATATTTCAAATGGCCAAAATCATATATTGAATTTTTATTAACCTGATTTTCGAAGGAAAAATCCGTTATTGATTTCGGAATGTATGGCAGGCGGGCGGGCGGCTGCAAAACAGTGTCCGTTCATTAACATGAAAATGCTTTGACGAAATTTTTTCAAATTTAGATATGTTGTTTCCTGTGACTAAATGAAGGTCAAGTTCAATTTTCATGATTTTAGCTTTTCTCGTTTTTGAGTTATAGCCCTTTCCAGTAACCAAAAGTGGTACTTATTATGTGATTTGAGTTATTTTCCTTTGAACAGAAATGGTTAATTATATATATAAAGTTTGATTAAACTTACAGATAAGTTTTATAGATTTTTAAAAGACATTGTATTAATGATAAATGACATTTTGGATTTTTATTTTCTTTTCTTTTGTAAATTGTTTGAAGAATTTTGTGGTAGGTTTGTTTGTTATTCTGTATAAACTAATTTTCTGAATGCTATATATATATTTTTTTTATAAAGCGAAGTCCTTTAAAAACTTAGCTTATATTCTATTAATAAACATATATTTAGGCTTCTGATTTTGGGCCCAGTTTTTAAGTTGGTCCAAATCGGGGTCCAAAATTAAACTGTGTTTGATTTCAACATGAATTGAATATATATAGGGTTCTTTGAAATGCTGAATCTAAACCTGTATTTATTTTCATTATTAATTAGATAATACCACATTGAGGTCCAAAGAGTCCTAAATTAAAATTTTGTTTTATTTCATAAAAAATTGATTCTTGGGGTTCTTTGATATGCTGAATTTAATAATGTTTTAGTGGTTAAATCATATCTAATTTTAGAGAACTATTTGTATATCATTTATTCAGTTTGAGTTATTTCCCTTTGAACAGAAAATCAATAAGTATATTGTTAAAATTAAAATGTGTTTCATTTCAGCATAAATTAAATATATATAGGGTTCTTTCAAATGCTGAATCTAAACCTGTATTTAAATATTGGATTTTTGGGCCCAGTTTTCAAGTTGGTCCAAATCAGGGTCCAAAATTAAACTTGTTTGATTTCAACAAAAATTGAATTTATGGGGTTCTTTGAAATGCTGAATCTAACCATGTATTTAGTGATTTTGGATTTTGGGCTCCTTTATCAAATTGGTGCACATTGAGGTCCAAAGGGTCCTATATTAAACTTTTGTTTGATTTCATCAAAAATTAAATTCTTGGGGTTCTTTGATATGCTGATTATAACAATGTACTTAGATTTTGGATATTGGACCATAATAGGTAAATGTCCAATTTCAAATTTTTCAGTTCTTTGACCACATTCATTTTGTGTCACAAACCTATGCTGTGTCAAATATTTAATCACAATCCAAATTCAGAGCTGTTTTAAGCTAAAATGTAGTGTCCATACTTGCTCAACTGTTCGGGGTTCGACCTCTGCAGGAAATCCGGTTTGCTGTCACTCTGACAGCCTCTTGTTATATGAGTTTATCACTCTTGAATGATGATTTTTATCCTTGTTTGCATTTGAAATTATCCTTGTTTGTATATTTTGCGAAAAATTATAGTAGATGTTGAGAAATTTTAATTGTAAAAAAGTTCATAAAAAAAAATATCTGCAAATTATACAAATAACCAAAATCTCAGAGGATTCCTTATTGGAGTTATTATCCTTGAAGGATGATTTTTACCTATATTTTTCATTTTTTTTTTTAGGAAATGATAGCAGAAAGAGAGTATCTTTAAATAGTAATACTGATCAGCAAAATAAGTCCCACAAATAAGTCATCATGGCCTTTATTATCAATTGACATCTACATGAGTTATTGATTTTAACCCATCTCTAGCTCACCTGGCATAACAGGCCAGATGAACCATTGCCATCACTTTGAATCTGTTGTCATTGTTTGTCATCATAAACTTTTTAAATCTTCAATAAACTACTGGGCCAATTGTTACCACTTTACCTGATTTTTTCTTTGGGAATCTAGTGAACCCAGAGATTTGATCCACCAACAAACATGGATGTTGTTGTGAAAAGAAGATTATATGGCCTTTTTTTTGGCTTTCACCTCTAAAAATAAAGCAGTTACAGCAACACTGACATTGGGTCAAAATTATTTATCTCTTTTGAAGTTGACAACCCATTTCTCATAGGAGTTATTGCACTTAAATAACAAATTTTCCAATTTTGGGGTAAAGATTGCATGCAATGCAATCAAAACCCCATGGTATCGACTTGATATCTACATCTTCCAAGGTTTATCATTACCTTTGATAATTCAAACAATATAGCGCAGTGAAGTGATCAGTATTTAGATCCTATCCAGTTCATATCATGCACTTTATTGGTCATATGTTATACTTTGATATTTAAGTTACAATATGTATATTTGAATTACCATACTTGTCAAGAAAACATTTTTTTATTTAAAAGCTTGGTGTATTACTCGATTTATTTCACTTGACTGGGCGGGGTTTAACCGGTTCGCTTATCATAGACCTGTCCATCTATAGATAGGTGTTTTTGGATAAACTCATCAATGAGGTGTCCAGTTATGGTCATCGATCAGGTTAAAATATGTAAACACTATATGTGTATTCGCAAAGTAAATAGTGAGACACAGCCGTTGATTTTCTTGTAAAACGGAGTTTAAAAACATGTAATAATTGTTACATTTTGGAAATTGTGGATATGAATGTATAACTATGGCGATGGCAGTTGCAAAATATGCATATGTCGTAATTCTATAACGTTTTGATATAGTTTTTTTCTTCCTTTTATTCAGAACTTCGACCTTATTGATTACCTTTATTGAACAGCAAGAAGAATTTTCTTTAAAGATTTTCCTTAAAGATTTTACTTGATGCACATTTAATGTAACAAAAGGAAATTAAAAGGTTTAAGTAACAAAAGCAAATAAATCACCACCAGAATTATCAGAATAACTTCTGTTCTAAATATAAAAAAGAAGATGTGGTATGATTGCCAATGAGACAACTCTCCACAAGAGACCAAATGACACAGAAATTAACAACTATAGGTCACTGTACGGCCTTCAACAATGAGCAAAGCCCATACCGCACAGTCAGCTGTAAAAGGCCCCAAAATGACAATGTAAAACAATTCAAACGAGAAAACTAACGGCCTAATTTATGTTTAAAAAAATGAACGAAAAACAAATATGTAACACATAAACAAACGACAACCACTGAATTACAGGCTCCTGACAGGCACATACATACAGAATGTGGCGGGGTTAAACATGTAAGCGGGATCCCAACCCTCCCCCTAACCTGGGACAGTGGTGTAACAGTACAACATAAGAACGAACTATAAAAATCAGTTGAAAGAGGCTTAACTCATCAGATGAATAAAAATGCAAATACTACAAATACAAGTGGACGTGGCCGGGTACTTGTACATCCAAACAACAAAAAAGACACCAAGTACAGATCTGAGAGTACTCGCAGTTACTGACAGTTAGTTCAAAGCTACTAACAACTAATAAAAAAATCATGCATCTAAGACTAAATTATCAATCCGTACACATCCAACATCCAATGGGTTTAGTGTAAAGACGTCATAAACAGTCAGAGAAAAACATAACCTTGTGCAATGCCAAGATACAGGTATCGACAGATTGTAGATCCATGAATGTGTATATGTATATAACAATAATATTTAGTTTGCTTTTAATTTACTGATAACAAAATCAATATTAGTACCAATAAAAACAATATTTAATTATCTTAAACCAGGTTTTTATGATATAAGTTTTAAACTATTCTATTCGTCCCATATCAAACACTCAGTTCTTGTGTATATCCGTTTGGTGACACTGATAGGTGATTAGAAATCAATTATAATAATAACGGCAATCATCCTTATCACACACATCTTCAAATAGACTGTCCTTATGCAAATTAAAACGTAAGCTCCGCCCGCTCAGTTGATATAACATTGGTAATATGAATCTGTTATTAAAATAGGTTCAACTACAAATTACAATCACGAACAAAGGAAGATACATGTAACTCCAACTCAAATTTTTAATTTGCCTAGCAAAATACAATTCAATGTTTTATTTAAAGATTCACAAAATTGCAAAATTACAAAATGAAAGCAATCTTTACCCTTCAGTGCTCACAAATCGTTAGTAGACTCTTTATTGAAATTATTGCCCTTTAATGACGATTTTCCCCAATTTTTGCATTTTGCCTTTTATCTTGAAAACTATAATAGTTACATAGAAACTGTAAATAGCAAAAATGATCAGCAAAAAAAAAGAAACTTATTTCCAATTTTTGACCAAAATCTCGATAGCTTTAAAATATAAAAAGAAACAGTATACACAAAAATTTGGACAGGTGAAGAAGAAGGCTCTTAGCAGCCTCTTGCTTTACGACTGTACCAGCCGGGAATCGACCCAGGAACCCTTGACACAGTACACGGTGAAGAAGTAGGCTCTTAGCAGCCTCTTGTTTTACGACTGAACCAGCCGGGAATCGACCCAGGAACCCTTGGCACAGTACACTACTTTTAACAGAGCTAAAGGAGCAATCCGCTAGCGCAGCTTATGGAGAGCGGTTACATACTAGGTAAGGGGAAGCACCGCTACACTTGTATAGCTGTTTATAACGTGAATGTCTTATTATTATTATAAGATAAATATATTGGGTATATGAGATCCTTGCAAAGATAACATGTCCGTCAGACAGGGTTCACCTGACCTTGACCGGTGATCAAGGTTAAGTTGAATTAGTTTAGTTTTACCACTTTGTATTTCAGGTATAAAATTGTACTTAGCTTCGTCGTCTTTATTCAGGGGAAATTGGTCATAGCTAGGTATTAAACTTTGCACGAGAAGCGTTAAGATCTTATGATTAGGCCAATGTTGGTTTTTCGTTCCTTTTTTATGACAACCCTTTTTAAAACCTATTCAATTGAGTGATTGGATGAACAAAATTTATGTTCGAGAACGGAATTTTAAGCTCTTGATTAAAAACAGTAAAACTGTTAGCTTTATATATTCTACCTATTTTAGTGTTGCTGACAGTAAGTAAATATGAGATTTATTTGCTATATACTCTGAAAAAATTTAATCATTAAAAGTTTTTTTTTTATTTATTTGACACTCATGCTTAAAACTTGGTAGAAAATAGAAAAGGGGCAATCATAAATCATAAGTCGCAATCACAATCACAATGTATAATTACATTTTCTTTTTTTACAGATTTGACTTGTATTTGACCTCTTTTACCGCTATTTTAATGACATTTCTAAACATCTTCATCATGCCGGCCGTCATGTTATTTTTTTTTAAAGTCCATTATATTCAATAATCAACATTTTCCATATAATCTTGTCATTTTACATCCGTTCCTGAACAAGCAATTGTGATGATTTCAACTTACTTGAAGAGGGAAGGCGCAGATGTACATACCGATTTTGTAATCGCCACACGTCATACTTTGATAAGGTCTCTTACACGAATAAAAAGATTATCGGTTAAATACTTCTTAAAAAGTAGTTAATAATTCATTTATCTAATTCATAAATTTGGAATTATCAGTTTGTTTTCTTAACTAATTGTGATAGTTGATAAACAATCTATTTTTATCCCCAAGTAAAATTTGGGAGTAACATTTAACACAACTAAATGAATTTTACTGCGTTAGTTCCTGCAAGGCGCAATTTTATTAAATGGATTGATATATTGCAGCCGACATTTAACAATAGGAATATACAATGCACTATCTGGAACTCATGTGAAAATTCAGAAGTTCTTGACTCCAATAACTATTCAAATTCGCTGAAATGCATATCCACCTCAGACAGCATTCATGAAAGCATTAAACAGATTTGTCTTATACCACTGACTATTTTGATTATTGCCATCAATGTCTGTGTTTTGTTGGTGATTGCTGTCAACAAAAAATTTCACAACACGACATATATGCTAATTGCGGCTCTGGGGTTTGCCGATCTTTGTGTTGGTTTTGTCTCAATTGAAACTCTTGTTACACGAGCATCAGAGAAAACTCTCGACTTATGCTTGATTCGGATTGGTTTTACAATAGCTGCTTGCGTTGGTTCCTTGTTTGTTCTAATGCTTATTGCGGTAGACAGATACATCGCTGTTTTTAAAGGACTAAGATATATTCAAATAGTGAAACGGGGAAGAGTAATATTCGGAATAGTTCTGGTATCTATCATTTCACTTTCTGTTGGATTCTTGCCATTAATGGGATGGCGTGTGCCAACGTACCATAAATATTGTTCCTTTTTGTATGTTGTACCGGCTAACTACATAATTGTATTATTTTCCAGCTGCGTTTTTATTCCAATTACAGCCATGTTTGTAATATATGGGAGATTGTACAAAAATGCGCAAATTCACATTAAAAGAATTGAATCTATTGAAAACATTACTCAGCCTAGATTAAGTAACGGACAATTACGAATTTCTCCAAGGACGGCAAAATCTTTGAAAACTCTTACCGTTGTGTTTGGATGTGTTCTATTAACGTGGATGCCTTTCTTGATCACATCTATCGCACAAATCATCTGCGGAGACGAAGCTTGTTTTCTTAAGGACATTGTCGGGACACATTTGCTGATATTAGGATTTTCAAATTCATTTTTGAATCCAGTAATATATGCTCTTGGGACAAAGGATTTTAGAGAAACATTTGTCCACACTTGTTTTGGAAGATTGCCCTGTTTTAATCAAAGACCGTCGCGGTCGCGATCCAATATCTACCCTGTATTCTCTAGAACACAACTTTAGTGCACTGAACTTCAACAGAAAGTTACGACTTACTTTAATATCAATGATTACAAATTCTGTTACTGGAACATTTTCTTAACAGTATTATGTTAAAATGTCCGCCTGTTTACGAGGAATAAAATTTTGAATATTTCGGTGACTTGCTTTCTTTGTAAATATCTTGTCTTTAGTAAACGATAATTTCTCTATATTTTGTTGAATATCTTCGTTACAATTGAAGTATATGTTGAAGTTTGTTATACTTCACCACCTGGAAAAAAACCCATAAGCAATGAGACGGGTCCCTTATATACTTAAAATTTGAAAGGATGGATGGGTTTTATAATTTTGGTCCGCCTGATAGTAATTTTAATCAATGTTGCTTACCAATTTCATTGAAATTTTTACACAGTTTTTCAAACTTGGATTACAACTAGGCTATGCCTGATTTGATGGGTATTATATTCATTTTGTTACATATAATTTGGCTCAGTTTTGTTTGGAAAACATTGGGATCGATGATTGATATTCTGTTCGTTGAACAGTTTGAAACTTTAGTAAACAGTGCCTTTTATTTCTCTTTGTCAATTGTAGTTGATTGACTTCACTGCCAACAATTTCAAAACAAAGAGACGTATCATGATTGTCAAAACAAAGAGACGTATCATGATTGTCAAACTGCATGACACAACTGACTGTATTCCCCAAACACCATAGTCCAATATACCTTGATTGCAACGTCATTCCGAAACATTTCTATACAACTAACTATATTCCCCAAACACCATAGTCCAATATACCTTGATTGCAACATCATTCCGAAACATTTCCATACAACTAAATAAACCAACAACTGGAACATCATTAAGATGCAAATCAGTCTTATTGCTACTCTTCTTACTTTTTATCATTACAGTAAACATATTTACCACCTTTAATCCCATGAAAACTATCAGTCTAAAACAGAGAAATTCAAAGAGCAGTACTAGTTCCATCAGAGAAAAAAATTACACGAGACCAACAATCACTGAAAAAAAATCTAGAAATGAGACTTTAAACTTCAGAATACCTTAGAATATAGAGAATATAAGAATGCTTTTTATCTGAAGTTTGGTGGATGGTTGTCTCGTTGGCAATCATACCTTATTTCCTTATTTTTATATTAGAATTATAATTATAAACTGTAGAAGTATTGGAGATATAAAAGCAGAATTCCTAGTAATGTTCAACTACTCAATACCAGACTTATTACTGAGAACAGTAATGATTTTAAGAAATAAAATCAGGGGGAAATCCAACAAAAGACTCGATCAAATCAAGCGAGACATTCCCAGTCAACTAAGAAATACCATAATACAGAAATGACAGAGCAACTATAGGAGGAGGTTCCTTGGCGTCAATATGGCCCATAAAGATTATTTTGGTACCATATGTTTCAGTTGGATTTTTTATTTTGTTGGAAGCCTGCTGTAGACATGAGCGAGTTCAGCATGTTAGTAGTTATTTGCGAATTATTCTATGATGTTGGCCTGAGACTCAATCTTTCCAGACATAGATTAAAGTAACCTAATAGTAAATTAAAATGGCACAATACAAAGATATACAAAACGCAAAGGCCCATAATATAAATATCAACGAACTGTGGTCTGACACAGATTCACGAAGAACCCACATGAGAAACTCTGAAAACCTATTTTGATTCTAAACATATTTTATTCATTAAGATATGAAAAAGATTGAGCAACAGGCACAGCCTATAAAGGCTCTCTCCATATTACATGTACAAGGTATAAATCAAATATTAACAACTGTATTTAAAATAATATAATATAGTGGAACATGCATGCTAATTATGAGCACACACAAGCAAATATATGTTTACAGTGTTAAATACTAAATGTAAAGTATATATAAGTATATGTATATAGGCAACTACTCATCATTTATTCAAGTACCTTGAAACATGTAAATATCCTTTATAAGTCATTAGAATTATATATATATATGGTTTGGAAGAGACACTAAGCTAGCTTAGTGGAATTAATGTTGAAGTGGAGAAAAAAAATAACACTAAATAAAACAAAATTTAAGAAAATTTCAAACAAAACGTTGAGTGTCACTGATATATTTCTGAACAGATTTGAAAAAAGCAATATTCATATCTTATGAAAATAATCTGTTTCCAAAAAGTAATAATTCAATATTTATGTCAACATTATCAACAATGGAGTAAATGGAATCAAGTAGGATCTGTCTTACATCATTGTACTTAGGGCAAATAAAAAAGAAATGTTGGTTAACCTCAACAGGGTGACCACAGTTTGCACAAAAAGTGTTCTCTGATAAGAACTGATTAAACAAATGGGATTTTAGGTTGCTAGCATTATTTCTGAGTTGACAATGACTTATATTAAGTTTCTTTACCCCATAGTTGAAAGGTTTAAATATTTCATCAGTCCTATAAAACTTGTCCAGTCCACTACTAAGTATACACAAACTTGGGGATTTTTGTAAACTCAGAGGAAGACTATTCCAAAGCCTTATAGTGGAAGAAATGAAACTATTAAAATAAGAGCTAGTTCTGGCAAGAGGCGGGTAAAAAGTGTTATTTTCATTCCTCAAAGTATAAGGGTTTTGTCTGGAAGATATGGCTGGACTAACTCATATAAGCATGCAAGTGTCATCCCATTTAATATTTTATAGAATAGTATAAGCTTATGTTTATTTCGTCTTTTCTCCAAAGTTTCTAATCCTAATTCAATATAAAGTTTTTGTCTTGAGGAATTACGCCGTAGTCCTGTAATAATTCTAGCAGCTTCTATTTGAATATTTTCTAGAAGCTCAGACTCGTGCTGGGAGCAATTGCCCCAAACAACATCACCATACTCTACTCTAATATATAGGTCTAATAAAAGCATAATAAATACGTATAAGTGAACTCCTATCTAATAAATGTTCAACTTAACGAAGCACAGATAGACGAGAGCATGCTTTTTTATAAATAATATCAATATGTGTGTTCCATGAAGCTGATGACTAAAATGTTATCCCAAGATGACAGTGAATATTTATTTTCTCAACCTCTTTTGAGAAACCTATTTGACCTAGTATTTACAACAAAACCATCACTGGTAATGTCATCTACCTATATACCATGCAGAACCATCTGACAGTGCAGCAGCAATAACATAAATAGATACCAAACCATACTACCTAAAGACAAATCAAATAAAAAGATACATCTTTTCTTAACAAATTGGGACAAAATTAAAGACGACCTTAAATAGATATAAGAAGATGTGGTATGAGTGCCAATGACTCGGACAACTCTCCATCTAGGTCAAAATTTATAAAAGTAAACCATTATAGGTCAAAGTATTGTCTTCAACACAGAGCCGGGCTTGGTTATGATTAACAACAACGATCGAAGAGAGGTACAAACCAAAAACTGAGCCTATAATCCTGGGAGAACACATGGAACACCATTAATAACACACTCTTCAAAAGCCTAGACGACGACATACCATCAAGAACAATTTTAAAGTTTAAAAATAAAGCACCTTGGATAAATCACAAAATACCGTCAAAATACTAGACTATAAAAAAATGACAGGTAAAAAATAAAGACAAACATCTGACAGTGCAGCAGCAATAACATAAATAGATACCAAAAAATTAAATGTAATTTGTAAATAGCCAAGAGAGAACTTTCTGTGTTGCCCGGGCCGACACTGCGTAAAGTTTTCGCGCGGAACCAATAACATTCAGTTTTGAATCCGGTTCCTTACCTGGAAGAAGAAGAAGAAGAAGAAGAAGAAGAAGGAAGAAGGAAGAAGGAAGAAGAAGAAGAAGAAGAAGAAGAAGAAGAATTAAGAAGAAGAAGACAAAAGACAAAATTTGGGCGACTGACTACGGGAAATGCAGTCAGAAAGTATATAAAAATACAAACAAAGATCTCAATCAGTAATGATAAATCCCCAGTTGTTAGTTTTCTTGATTAACCTTGACACACGTGCGATGTAGTCTGAACTCATATTTTCCTGATTTCCTGATTTCCTGATCCCGAAATCCCGGGCTTAAAAACATGGAATCCCGAGGTCCCGAATTTAAAAAAATTAAATCCCGACATCCCGAAATTCGAAAAAAGAATTCCCGGATTCCGAAAGGATCAATCCCGAAATCCCGAGCTTAAAAACACCCGATCCCGGAGTTCCGATAAAGGTCCTACCCCCCCCCCCCCCCCTTCATATCTCGTTAAATATTACAACTTGAACGGAAATCTTTCATAGTTCGTCCGTCTTTTATTTAAATCATTAATTTTGGCGGGAAAAGATTCTGATGCTGGAACTGAAACTTAGATGAAGGGTAAAACCACCAAATTCAACCCGTTTTCGTGCATTCCAATGATGACTTTGGTCTCAACTCAAAAAACCTTATACCATATAATCCTGATTAAGGTTCATTAAAAGGAATTGAAAAATATGGCCGTGTTTACACCACAAAATCTATGAGTAGATCTACACAGTACACTACAGACAAACTGATGCATGTAGGAAAGTTTTAAGGCATGGCAGGACCTAGATATGTAAAAGTTATATGTAGTCTATGTTTCAGAAAATTAAAAACTTACCTGGATGTTGATGTGCATTTTTTTCCAGTCTGCAGGAGATGGCGAAATAAACAAACACACGACTCACGAGTTTCATTTGATACGCCATACGGTCCACTCAGTTAAAATCACCTATTGTCTGCAGATGTCTATTGTCCATCTATTGTCCATTTAAATCAATACTGCTCACAACATTTATTATATGAGGGGAGCTTCTCAAACCTCTTTCCCAACTTTGTTTATTTTGGCACCTTCTGCAGGTATGAAAAAAAAAATGAATAGCAAAATCCAGAAAAGTTTATAATTTTCTGAAACATAAAATGCATTTAAAATTTAATTATCTAGATCCTGCCATGCCTTAAAACTTGTCCATGTGCTCAGGTTTGTCTGTACTCGACTAAAAATGGTGGTGTAAATACAGCCATCAGAGACATATAATACATTGTATTATATGCCTCTGCAGCCATATTAGCCAAAAGGTTATGATGAACCTTAAAATAAGTTTGTTTTTTAGTATTATTATTTCATAAAAGGATAATAAGTACCATCTATAGGCATAAAACATACATTACACCGTCAATAGGTGCTCTCTCCCGTCAAGCTGAAGCCAGAATTGGTACCTTCGAAGTAACGATACAGATACAGATACATGTACATAAACCATGTAAACAGACTTTACTTCTTGCCATAGAAAATAGAAAAAACATCCTTATGTGAATGATTATTGATAACCTGGGATCGTTGTAGTTGTATCTCAGGAATGATTATGTAAGACATAAAAGTGTCCTGTGAAAAAGTGTCCACCTGGACAGTTTTTCATAGAATTTTGGTATTAAATATATATATATACCGTCCATTGCCATGAAATATTGTCCCTCAAGTGGACAGATTTTTACTGCAAAAGTTATGAAATAGTGTCCACCCACAGGACAAGTTTTCATAGTAGTTGCTATTAAATTGTGTCCTCCAAGGGAAGTAATACAAAGGTCATTAAAAAGTTTATTATACTTAAATTTTAATAAAATCTGAACGATTCATTCGATATTGATTATTATACAAATGTAAACAAACAAATAATGGATGGAAGTGAACATATAGACATTGAAGTTCTAAGAAATACCCAGCTAATGCTAATGACAATAAGAAGGAAGTGTGTAAAGTATAATATCAAATGTGACGAACTTTACGATATTTATTATGAGAAGAAGGCAAAAGAAAATACAGAATTTTGGTATTAAATAATGTCCATTGCCATGAAATCTTGTCCCCTAAGTGGACAGCATTTTACAGCAACAGTTATGAAATATGGTCCACTTACACAGGACAATATTTCGTAGTAATTGTTAATAAATTGTGTCCTCCAAGGAAAATAATACTGAACAGCATCTGTTACTTGTTTGAATTTAAATCATTATACATGTATATATATTAAAAAATATAAATAAGAAGATAAGGATGGTATGAATTTAAATCATTATACATGTATATATATTAAAAAATATAAATAAGAAGATAAGGATGGTATGAGTGCCAATGAGACATCTCTCTGTCAAAGTAACAATGTATTAAAGTTCGCAATTATAGGTTAAAATAAGTCCAGTAATAATGAGGCAATGGATATCTTTTAATACTTTTAATAATATCAAAAAAATTTCTGTCGGACATAATGTCCTGTGAAAAAATGTCCACCTGAACAGAATTATAGTATTAATTAGTATTCATAGGAAATTGTGTCCGGGACACATTTAGATAAGTAAATATTGTCCATGGACAGTATTTACTATGAAATAATGTCTGGTGGACATTATTTCATGGGGGACATTATTAAATCCTACACTTTTGTACCAGGAATGATTATACTAGCAATTTTGAACCAGGAATGATTACACACTAGTGATTTTGTACCAGGAATGATTGCACTAGTAATTTTGAACCGGGATTGATTACACTAGTGTTTTAGATCCATATAGTGATGAAGTGTTACAACTGCCTGTCCCTCATTTTTTGTATACAGATAATCCATTCCATTGTGTGTTTTGATTATAAATATGTCCTTTTTTGCTCTTAATCTTCTTTTTTCATTTTCACTTGAATCTTCAGGGTATTTTTGCAATTTTAATTACTGGAGAATTGTTTCATATTCCTTCTCATCCATTTCGGAAGTTAGTGCGAAAACCCTGTCAAATTATATTTTATGTATTAAGACTTTTAATGCTATATCATAAAATGCTAGATTGATTCAGATTAATTAAACTAGTTCCTTGAAAATTATTCTATTTTTAACCCATTAATTTATGTAAACAATAAACCGGTCTAATATAAACAAAACAACGATATCAAGATCGATGCTTTCACACTATTTACATCCAATATTCTCTAGTGAAAAACAGTTACCCGGAATATATACACGGTGGAATGAAATTATGCTTACAAATACACACTTTCTGACAGTCCAGAAAATCCCACACACACTAAATTATTCACATAAAGTCTGTCGGAGTCCAACTTGCAGGCAGATATGCAGTTAAAATTAAACAATAGAAATGAACTAGTTACTATGGAAGGTGAAAACTAAGACTACTGTAACACATATGTAGTGTTATAGTAGTCTCAGGTGAAAAGGACTACGGTGACGTTTTGAATGCTTAATACACATGTGTTAGATATAAGTTTAATGCAGCTGTTTGTGAAAAGATTTTGTTTGCATGTCATGGACTGTGACTTCTTTACACACAAATTATAACACAGAGCTAAATGATATAATTCATCTTTTAATCAAAGACAAATATTCACAACAACCATTTTTGGTTGTTGCAAAAGCTAATAGTGCTTCGAGAAATAAAATCTCAGAATGGTAACAATCTTATTGTGAATAGAAAGTTGGCCTTGGGTACAGCTTTTATACTCAAAAGTGTTTTGGGTTCATTGCATAATCCTCCAAATGCATTATTTTTGTATTTTAAAGCTAAATGTTGATTTGATAATATTCAAAATTCACATTACTAAAAACCAAATATATGCGTCAAGTGAAATACCTTTGTAATGAGTCATCTTAACAGAGTAGGTGTGTTTGAATAACAAAATATTCTTGTGCAACTATGATTGTTTTAACTTGGAAGTCCACTTCTTACATGTCTTATTCATCAATTCATTTGAGTTTCTTTGTCATTTTTTTACTTCAAATCTGTTAAAAATATTTAATGTCAGTATGAAAATAAGAAAATGAGGTATGATTGCCAATGAGGTAACTATCCACCGGAGCCCAAATGTAGTGGATGTAAACAACTTTAGGCCTCAATTTTCTGTAATAAAGATCAAAACCCATACAATATAGTCTAAAATGACAGAATGTGAAACAATACAAATGAGAAAAAAACAGCCTGATTTATAAGTTTTTTTCATCCACAGTTCTTGAAAATGGAAAACACCATTTTGTTGACATACAAGCATTTGTCTGGCTGTAGTAATACCTATTAATTTTCAACAACATTTAAAAGTCATCTCTCTTATAAGATTAATTTTGTCTGGTCTAGAGGGTGAACCTTTTATACAGGTTTCCTCATTTGGCTGCATTTTATTTCCCATTACTGAAAAATAGTTTAAAATTGTAGGCTTATAAACAAACACACACACATTGGACTAACATTTTTTACAAAACTTCTGATTTTCTGACGGACATGAGACTAAAAAATGTACTTTCTTGCTTGTATAAAATTACTATCCTAAATCTTATAAAGACAATTTAGCGATTTAAAAATTGACATTATTCAAACATCTGATCAAGATGAATTTTTTTATTGGTTTGCTGTCTCAGACTTTTACCCAACATCTCATTTGAGTCACACTTTATATGGTTTGAAGTCCTTTGAGAGATCTGTCAAAAGTATAACTTTTTAATTTAGATTATTACTCCAGGAGAAGAACGTTTTTGAAGTGTAATTGAAAAATAAGGAGACTTGTCAACACATATAAAATTTCTGTAAAGGAATTTATACATGCTGTAACCTCTACTTCTTTCCCATGATAACTGAATTTGAAATCAAAGGGGCATTAAAATAATCAGTAATAAGTTCATATATTTAAAATCTTTTTCAGGTTTATGTGTAACACTTCATATATGAACTAAATATGGTGTTAGAAGTTAAAGTCAGTGTGAGCAAGAAGAAAAAGAAGATTTTGTAGATGAATATGAAAATGACCCATACAAGTATTGATCCATGTAGGTAAAGAAGAAATAGACTATAAATTTGTATTTTCAGTTTAAATCTTTTTTTGCATGTAATCCACCTTCAGTTTAAATAGCACACAAAATAATTAACATGTAAACAATAGTTTTAAAAGGATTTCTGAGAGACAACACATGGATGTTTATATCACTATCAGGTAACACAGAAACTTTGTTAACACTTTATTAGGACAGGTATGGAAAATCTGGAAACTTTGTTTACCTCTTTTTAATATTGTATTAAGTAGCTTTTGTACCTATATCAATAGAGGAATAAGATTACTGATGTTTATATTGTGGGAAGAAATATTATATAGTGTGTAAATATTGGATAGAATGGATATTTTGTAAGATCTTTAATGTACATTGTATCAAGTAACTTGATAATTTAAATAGTATATGTAGATACTATCATTTCTGTAACAGCTTGCTTGCAGTTTGTTAATAAATTTTACGGTCAGTATCTTTGCCTTATTTGCACTTTTTATGTTCCTTTTTCACCTGAGCTGTCAGATTTTATACAAAATTTGCATATTTTATGACATGAATAATGTTTCTGTAGGAGTATTTGTTTGAAAATTAAAATATTTCAGGATTTCTTTTTCATTTTCCACTGGGTTTAATAGCATTGATATTAAACTTGGTATATAAAAGTTCTTTAAATCACAGATAGAGAGGAAATGATGAATATAAATTGGAAGAAAAAAATATGTTGAATTTATTCAATGTACAGTGTATTTCAATTGAAAGTAAAGTGTATTTGAATTGAAAGTAAGTGAGAGAACTGTTTTAAGGTTTCTTGCCTGTATGTTACTAATATTTGACCATTGCAATCTTGAATTTATTTTACAATAAATCAATCAAATTTGATTAACAATGACCTGCATTTCTTTCTTGAATTACCCTGGTAAAATGATGAGGCCAATTTTTTGGCCCCCCAGAAAATTAAAAAGTATTATAAATGTGAAATATAACATACTTTAGTTGTTCATGAGACATTTGACTGGCAATCACATAAGCTTAGTATTTTATCAGGATCTTATGCCTGTAGAAGTAATTGAATGAAATTCAGTACAAGCTGTGTACTGGTATCAAAGTTAATTTCCCAAGCTTTTTTTTTAAATAAAGAAACAAAAGTAAAGTCTTTATCCAAAATCATGAACCATTCTCATTTACAAGTTTACTTAACTGTTATGCTTCATGATGATGAGTAACCAAATTCTGCTAGAATAAGATCTATAAATAAGATACTTTTTACCAAGTCACAAGCACATCACTTTTAATATTTAAAAAGAGAGTTGAAACAGCTGATTTAGGTAACACATTTAAGATATGACTTACTGTAATAGTTTACATGTATGGATATGCTTCTCTTTGAGATCAAGTCTGAAAGGCTATCTCACAGAATAGAAATGATTAACCTTTATAAGTTTATAGTTTTGTATTTAGGTCCAAATGTTAGCTTTTCACATGTTTCTTTATAGGCAAGGACATTTGTCTTGCAGACACTGAGTGCATTTGTTTGTTATTAAAGAAATATATGAGAGTATTATTATAATATTATAACTAAAACTATGGTAAAATGTGATATGATAAAATTGATGTTTGTTTAATATAAAAATAGGATGATACAATATATGGTATGATTCCCAATGAGACAACCAAATGTGTACAAGTTATCAACTACTAACAGACAAATCCAAAACTAATAATCAATTGAGACCTAGTATATACAATTGATCTGATAAATAATTGTCTGCATTGAAATATATATATTTAAAAGATTATCAATTTACTCAGTATATATGTATGTTTTAACAACGATATATATTTCAAATATAATTTATATCAGATTAATTTTTTTAGTATTTGGTATTCTGTCATTTTAATAACAGCCTGCTGATAATGCATACAAACAAAATTTAGTTATAAAGTGTATACTTTTTCTTTAAATTGATTTCTGTTATAATGGTCCTATTATTCAATAAAAAGATTTATATTCTGAACTAACAATGTAATTTGTAATGCCAAAGTGTTTTTGCAGATTTTTCCAATAAGCACAATGGAAAATGTCGTATGCCTACAATGATGAATAAAGGGCAGTAAATCTCTCAACAGACTAAGATACCTGCATGAAAAGTATAGATTTAAGGTAAACATTCTTTGAATTTCTAGCTTCAATGCTTGGTGGATTTTATAGTTCTACTGTAACATACATGTGGTGCTTGAATAACAGAAATACAAATTTCTCAGTGATCTAGAAAAAGTGCCTTTGGCATTATCCAATTTTTTCTTAACTGGTCCATAATTAAGGGAGGTTGGCATTGGTTATACATGCCATCTCTTAAAGTGAAGAATAATTGTTTAAAAAGGAAAAAATGCAATGTGAGATGCTTATTTTATCCTCTTTATTTTATACTAGACCCTAAGCAGTGCATTGGTTAAAAATATATCAATATAAAAAAGTATGGTTTAATTGCTGTTCATTAGAAATTTACATATCAGGAGTAGTATAACTATAGAAAGCTTAAGACCTATGAATAAATTGATGATTTTTGTACATTTTTTATGGAGTTAACTGATATATTTTGAAATAAAAAAGAAGTTTTTTTTGCTCCACTTGTCAGTTGAAAAGTCGTAACATGAATAGAATTGAGAGCCTTTAAATTTGAATTGAACATAAAAATGTTTACAATTGAATCAACCACCCATGAAGTAAGTTTATGGCCACTTGGTAAGTATGAATTATCTGACACCTTCGGTTTTAAAATTTCAACCCTCCTTGTGTTTACCTTTGTTTACTTTTGTATACAAGTTGTCAAATTTAATGGGTATTTTTACATAAAAAATAAGTACATATTTAAAATCTTTAGTTTTGTAGAGTATTAAATAACATAATAATGTAGTTTGACAGTGTACTTTGGGACACTTTAGTAGACCTTTTATGTACATCCTTAATAACATATGGGAGACAGCCTGTATTGTTAACTTACTATATCATCAGTCATACCCATTATTTCTCCAACATCTCTTGAAACAGAAATGACAGGTGTGTATCCAGGATTTTGAAAAGGGGGGCCCTAGAAAGCCAATGTTTGGAGTGATACTTGTAAGAAGCCTATGCATTTATCATATATGTAGCTCCATACTGGCTAAATTTGCCTCTGAATGATGGTTTTGTTTTACAGTGAATCTTTTGAGTGCTTGTATTAATTCCTTATGGAATAAATGAGCTAGTGTAAAAAATAAAATAAACGATGGATTTCAGCTAAATGTTTTATTTCCGACAGAATAAACACGCTACTTGAAGTTTCCAGTAGTGTTCAGAAAAAATGCATTAGGGTATATTTGGTAAATGATTTTCTACATGTCAAGATGAGTGTACTTCTTTGTTTTTCTGATTTTGAATTCAAAAATACAAGTCCGTGAAAATAAACAAATTGGGGTCATTTTAGTAAGGACCTAAGAGGGCTCCAAATTTTGAATGAAAATTAAAACCTTTTTTCATTTAACAATTTGTGTATCATCATATATATATATGACAAGATTAGTGTTGTGGATTTAGAAAACTGTAAAAAGTTATGCCTTTTTTATGTTAAAAGAATCATTTTAGATGAGTCACTGAAAATAAGGCAATAAAGCTATAAAGAAGCCCACTTCTGTTGAAATGTCTGCAAGGTCTGAGGTTGGACTGTCATTTCAGGTTAAAGATAATGGTAATTTTGGAATTTAAATTTCTAAATGTTCTGTTTTTATCTGATTTTTAATGTATTTTAAGGTCACAGTGACTTATATTGGTAAAGTATAATGTTCTACTGGTGTGGTTTTGGGGAGTCCATTTAATTATGCATTTATTTTGCATGCAAAATGTAGTAATTTCTTGTTGGTATCTAAAAAAAATATTTTTGTAAATTTATGGGGCCCCATATATATGGGATTAACGACCCTCCTCCAATGCCACTGTATTAAAAATTTATGTATCCTTTAGAAAAGGTAATTGAAATGGTATCTTTTATATTTGCTTTTCAAGAATTTGAAGATAAATGTGAATTATTGCAGCTAAAATGATAAAAGATGAAAGATCTGTAAGCCTTGGAAAAGTGTCCTATAAATTCAAAGAAGCAAAAATATTTTTTTTGAAACATTAATATTTTTTAATTGATAAAAAATTACATGTATTTATTGATGAGTACATGATTGATCAGCATTACTAATATCTGAATAAAACAATTTATCACATTCTTTCATACATATAAAATAGTTCTGTCAACAGATGTTCACTCAGTGTCAGCTTGTTAGAATTAGTCATTTTATGTACATGTTTATAGTAAGAAAAAGAACTTTAAAACTTTCTGGTTTATAACATGGCATGTGGTTTGGCATGTATAAAGGAGGTTGATGAGGTAGGCTTTCGGGTAAATAAAGGGGTGGAAGAGTTTAGTAGTGTCAGTCAAAATAAGTTTAGGCAATTTTTGTTAAAAAATGTATTAAGTTGTGCCTAATCAGTGGAAATAAGATTTGGCAATATGTTTTTTTGAATTTGAGAAAAATTATATGATATTTTTTAGTGCACTGCATTCTACAGAAAAATTCTAACAAAAAATTGTACTAGTCTACAATGGCAATAGGTCATGCAAAGAAGAAAATTCCAACCATCAGCTTATTTCAGAGAAAAGATATTTGTGACATATTTTCATTTCAACTTATTATATTTTCTACAGACTGACATGGGTAATTCCAACTCTACTGATAGTCTACTGGAGCAGTATGAAGGTAAAATAGAAATCATTGAACCTCTTAATCTGAGGGATAATGGTTTTGAAGACGATGAAATTCAGGAGGACACAGATAATGAAGAGGATGATAGCGATGATGAATTCTATGATGCAGATGAATTTAATGAAAAGGTAAAGCAATTAATATCTAGTAAATAAGCGTGTCTCCATATGCATACCAAAAGATACCAATATTTTCAATTTTATGATTATTGGAAGCAAATATACACAAAAAAATAACTGGTTGTCGAGCATGCAACTTTTAGTTGCAGAAAGCTTGACAAAGGGATAGGGATCCGGCGGCGGCGTTAACTAACTTCTTAACGGCTCAATATTTCAAAAAATGGAAGACCTGGATCCTTCATACTTTGTATATAGATGCCTTATGTTATGAAGTGTTCTACTGTCATATGTCCATTGTCCTTGACCTCATTTTCATGGTTCAGTGACTACTTGAAAAAAGTTAAGATTTTTTGTAATGTTAAGTTCTGTCTTATTATGAGTAATAGGATAACTATATTTGGTATGTGTGTACCTTGCAATGTCCTCATGTCTGTCAGACAGTTTTCACTTGACCTCAACCTCGTTTCATAGATCAGTGAACAAGGTTAAGTTTTCGTGGTCAAGTCCATATCTCAGATACTATAAACAATAGGTCTACTATATTTGGTGTATGAAATGATTGTAAGGTGTACATGTCCAACTGGCAGGTGTCATCTAACCTTGACCTCATTTTCATGGTTCAGTGGTAAAAGTTCAGTTTTTGTGTTTTGGTCTGTTTTTCTAATACAATATGCAATAGGTCAACTATATTTGGTGTATGGAAATATTTATTGATGTACATGTCAGTCTGACAGGTTTTATTTGACCTTGGCCTCATTTTCAAGGTTCATTGCTCAATTTTAATTTTTTTGTTTTTTTGGTCTGATTTTCTAATACTGTGTGCAATAGGATAACTATATTTGGTGTATGGAAATATTTTACATTGTAAATGTCAGTCTGGCAGGTTTTATTTGACCTTGACCTCATTTTCATGATTCGTTGTTCACTGTTAAGTTTTTGTGTTTTGGTCTGTTTTTCTTAAACTTTAAGCTATAGGCCAACTATATTTGGTGTATGGAATGATTGTAAGGTGTATATGTCTGTCTGGCAGGTATCATCTGACCTTCACCTCATTTTAATGGTTATTGGTCAGTTTTCCTGGATAACTTTGTCTCTTAGATACTATAAACAATAGGTCAACTATATTTGATGCATGGAATGATTTTAAGGTGTACGTGTCTGTCTGGCAGTGTTCATCTGACCTTGACCTCATTTTCATCGTTCAATTTCCATGGTTTTGTCTTTTTCTTTTATACTATAAGCAATACATATAGGTCATCTATATATTCGTATATGGAATGATTGTATTAAAGGTGTACATGTATTTACGGCTTGGTTTATCTGACCTTGACCTCATTTTCTTGGATCATAAATGTTAATGTGATACTTGTAGTAAAACTTTATATTTAGGACTATCAACATAAAATCAATGGTCAGTATTGTAGGCTAGACATTTCAGCGTGTGCACTCTTGTTTTATTGTACATACAATTATTGAAAATACTGATGGAAGCAATATTGAAATACAGTTAAAAGTATGGAAACTGAACCAAAGGCCAGAAGAAAAGAATATTGCTTTAAATTGTTCCTCCCTTAATTCCTATTAATATTTATGTTACTATATTATGTAGCGTCCTCCCACACTGATTGATGTATCCATTGTTTCCAAGCTTGTGACTGAAGTTGAAGAACTTCTGAACCATGTAACACGACAGGATTACCAGGCTGCTTATGATGCAGCCAAAATATTACAGCAAGTCAATATAGGTAATAGATAAGTTTATTTAGTTTTGAATTTCAAAAAAACTCGTATTAAAGGTATGATAAGGCCACTTTTTTTAGCTCCTTTAATTCGAAAATCAAAAATTATTATAATTCTAACAAATAAAACCCATCAGATGTTCATAATACATAATAGTCTGTCGGACATCAGTATTTATATTTTTGAATTTTGTCTTACATATTGGCCTTAGGGCCTCAAACTTCTTACATTTAGTGCAAAACTGCAAATACTGACAACAAAATAGCCTCATTTTGAGATCTTGTCATTAGTATTTGGATATGAACAACAGCTTTACCCCAAAATATATTTTTCAAGGATGTTTATGTGTGTAAAATATCATTTCGGGTAAAGCTGATACTCATATATATTTTTATTTTGACCAAAAACAATGGGTGAAATGGCCATTTTAGATCAAATACATAAGTTTCCAATGTTTATGACTTCTTAGTAACATAACATATGATTTTTCTGCACTAAAGTATCCAAATAACATTAACCCGTTCATTTATCATAATTTTGAAGGCTTGAATAAGTTCACTATTTTCTCTGACCAAATAATAGCTCTTATCATACCTCCTCCTTTGGTTTGAGTTGTATTAACACACTGCAAAATTCCTTATAACCTATTATGTAGGAAATTAAATGAAAATTGAGTGATAGGCTGATTGGAGACGCTACACCTTTTTTTGTAAATAACAAGACCTAAATTAGAATTAAACTCATAAATAAAATAAAAACATAATTAAAATCAGGAAATCCTGTAAATGGTCATTTCAGTGTCTATATATTTAGTAATTGGTAAAAAATATCTGCTAATCCCAAAGTTTAAAATAGATTGGAGTGAAAATCTTTAAATCCAATCATGGATCTCTGTAGTAAGTTATTGTATACTACCTACTGAACTTAATCCTGAAATAATCTTCTTAAAATAAACATCGGTTTAAGAATTCTTTGTATATATTAAAGATGATTACAACATAGCAATGTGACATAAACAGATGTCGAGTAATTACAGAATTTACAGGTAAATTTGACCCTTAAGATATTGTCCTGGGTGATATTCATAGTACATGATACAAAGATGACTATTTATTTCAAGACTTGATTCTTGGAAGAATGCCTTTTATCTAACTCTTAAATTTATTTCAAGTTTATCAAGTTAAATAGCTATACTTGTTATATCTTTCTGTCCCACAAAGTTTGGTTGCACTTTCCTCAGAAACTATAAATTTGAGGTGTCTGAATTTTTGGTTTCCAGCTTCATGTGAGCATAATTCATACTATGTGATGCATTTTTAGATACATTGTTTATCAACTTCCTTATACCAATTAAATACACAGGTTATGTATTCTTTCAGATAATGGCCATGTATGACATTTTCGTTGCTTTTTTCTTTGAAGCTACAAATGAACGCTTTCTGAAGTTTGGAATCAACCTTCATGTGAGCATTCTATAACCTGTGATGCATTTTTACATTCATCACTTTTCGACTTCCTGTTAATTGAATACTTGTTGCAGGGGTATGATAAGCATGGTAAGATAAGTGAGTAATAGCTCACAATTCAACTTTTTATCTCTGTTTTGTTTTGCTTCTTTGGAAGACCACAGAGATACTTTAATGGCTGTAAAACATCAACTTGATTATGTGGATGGGGAAAAAATCAAATTTGCATTCCATAAAAAAAAGTACATTTGAAATACACTTACAGATTAAGATTTGAGATTTGTAATATATTTGTAGGATCTGCCTTTACTGGTGACAGAATTAAATCCTTGGAGATAACGTCAAAACTGCAAAAAGAGAAAATAAGAAATATCAGAAGACAACTTCCTCAACCTAAAGTAAGATACTCAAGTTCTAGTCCTTCCAGGCTCAGTTCAAGTGGAGATGACACTACATCATCAGGTCATGTGACTAAAATTAACCGACCAAATTTAACCAGTCAAGTGAGACAAAACAAAAGTGATGCTACTTTGAACAAAGATGTATATAAAAACAAGGGAAATAACACTGCTCAAATGCAAAAGGATGTGAATAAAACAACCAGTGAGAACAACAATAATGTAAAACGTTTGTCATCTTCCTTGACCAATCAGGTTGGTGCTGTTCCTGATTTGATAAGAGTAACACCAGATTTAAATGAAGATAGTCTAGTTTGGGACGTTGATGTCGCTGATATAACAGCTAAAAGATCTGTGAAGAAGCCAGGTGATTATCTACTTTCATGATTATTCAGGATTAAACATAAAACAGTTGGATTTAATTCTGTGTTTAAGATCCTTAACATTGGACATATCATCAATGACGTAACTTGATTTTTATTTTGATGTGGTCAATGAAATTATCCTGTAAAGCTTTAAGATTCTTAACTGTAAATAGATGATAATTTCTTGAAAAAATGCAAATGCCACCCTTTATATTTAGGTAACTTGCTGTCGTAAAAAGACGACCACAATATTCAAGGTTATTACTAGTCTGTGCAGGACTAAATTTATTGTCATTCAGTAAAGATCAAAATCAACAGTAGCAAAAAGCAAAAGACAAACAAATTTTGACCTTAGAATAGAATTTTGAATAATGAAGAACATACCAAGTGTACACATAATCTAGTATTTCATAACTTTATTAAATACTTACCTAACTACTGCAAACTCTGGTTGAATGATTGTTATTTCTTGACCTAACATCTTTCTTCAAAATATACAAGATATATGAAATTTTGTGAGATATCTCATGTTTCCTCTAAATTTTTAAATGCATATAAAAACTCAGACACATATTACTCCTTCTGTAAAAATATGTTACAAATTTCTTTAATCTTGTCATTTTGAATCACACCACCACTGCCTTAATATGCATATGTTAAATTCCAACAAAACAGCGGTCTAGCTTGATCACTGTAAAGTTATTTTTGAATAATATTTTCTTATATTTTCATATAATTTGTTTAGTGCCAGATTCACTTGAAAGTTATACCCCTAAATCTAGATCTTTTACATTGTAAGCATACCTTATACCAGACAGATAATTAAATTTTGTTTGCACTTTATGATAATCTGCTACTATAATACTTCAAAACTTAGATTAGTGTTCTTTTTCAGTGTTGCCTAGTGAGAGAGAAGATGCACTTACAGATTATATTCCCCCAACTGTTACTGCTACATACTCCCAAATTGCTGCTCGGAAAGTCATGGACCAAAAAAGATGGTTAATTTCTAGTTTTATATTTTAATACAAATAGAACAAAATATTTTGAAATGTTGAAAAAAGAAGTGGACATGTATTTTTTAGAATTTTATATCAGTGTTGTTAATCTTTTTCTCTGATATTAGTTTTTGCATCAATATTTTACAACCAGTAAAGATTTTAAGAATTTGAATTGCTGCCATGGATTAATCAGAGTGATAGACAGTTTGAATTTTGCTAGAGAATGATTCCCACCGTGTGTTACTTAATTTTAAAGTTTGAAAAGACAATTTTACATTATTTGCATTGCATCATGCTACTACTTATGATAGTTGAAGCTGCAATATGATGTTATGGTAATTTATTTGATGTAAGCTTTTTTTTGTTTTAGGATTTGTATGAGTAGACCACAGTACAGTAAATCGTGTGGTATTTCGTCTGTTGTTTCGTGTTGGAATTACCTCTTTAGTACTTTAGGACATGGAAGGTTTGTATAAACTCTACTTTAAGATAATTATTAAACTTGTCCAACAAACATTTTCTTTTTTTTTATTTTCAAAATATGATAATACAGGTTGCTATAGGTCTAGCTATTTAATTTTTAATTGTGTTTTATACTCAGAAATTGAGCTTGAATTTTATTGTAATGCATATTATAATGTGTTTATTGTGTAACTCATGGATGGCTGCCTTCCAGCAACTCATCAAGAAAACAACAATGGTGTGTGATTTTGATTCAGAAATTTGAAAAGTACCATGTTATTTACTGTCCATTAATGTGGGAAACTAAATTAAGTGAAAATTGTATCAATAAATCAATTAAATAGTACAATTGTATAAAGCAGAAGTAATATGTTTTTTATTGCTTAATTGAATTTACTGGTAACTTTGAAAAAGAAGCTAAATATGTATTTTTTAACTTTTATAATGTTAGAAAATATAACTTTGGTCACCTGTTGAGAAATGCCAAAAAACTCATTTTACTTTTTGTTTTACAGCCTTTCTCCAATTACTCAAGAAGAAGCTTTAATATTTTTGGGATTTAAACCTCCATTTGGTGAAATAAGATTTGGACCTTTTACTGGAAACATTACTCTTATGAGGTATTTATATGTTAGATGAAACAGAATTTAACAAATCAATATGAAAATTGTTGGAAGTACTCGCCCAGTAAATAAGATATTTCCCTAAAAAGTGTATAACAATACAAAAAAAGGTAATAAACAAAAATACATTAATGAATCAATATTTTCTAGAACAAATATCCTTCTTCAGTAAATGGCAACTTTGAAGAAAGTTATTTTAAATACTTATATTTCTGAAATTCAGAATATTGATAAAAAAAATCATTATTGATTAAGGAAATTAAATGAATTGTGAGAGGAGATATGGAATAATTAAGGTTTCTTTTAATATTATTAAATTATAGCCTGTCCTCAGTTTAGTTAAAAAATTAAATGAGAGATTTTTTGTATACATGGGGAGGGGAGATAATAAAAGAAAACAGGATAAATCTTTCATTATGCAGTATATAATGATGCACATGTCCATCTGTCTGTTTGTCCCTTCATCCTTTAGTGATTGAGTCACAAATTAAGTTTCTGGATGATAAGAACTGCATGACCAAATCTTTTGAAACTTTATCATTAGGTGTTGGACCATAGAAAAATCAGTTAATTGAATTTTGATGGTTTTGACATTTACTATTCAATAGTTATGTCCCTTAGTTACCTTAATTGTTGGGGTTTTTATTTCAGTTTTCAAATGATAATGATAATGTCATGACAAAATCTTTTGAAAGTTGAACATTATAAATACAATAAAATGCAGGTCAAGTTCAATTTTGATGGGTTTGATGTTTACAGTTCAAGAGTTGTTCCCCTTAGTTACCTTTTAAAAATATTTCTTCTGTTTCTGGATGATTATGTTATTACTGCTTGACAAAATCTTTGGCATTTACAGTTAAAAAGTTTTTCTGCAATCAAGGGTATCTGTGATCCCTAGATCACCTAATTTCTATTTCTATGATAGTTTAATAAAAAGAACAGTTGAATTCAGTCCAATCAGCAATATATGCATCTAAACTTTATTGATATCTTACATTCATTATAGATGGTTTAGACAGTTGAATGACCACTACAAAGTGAAAGGGAGGTGTTTTAACTTGTACAAACCACAGGGTAAAAATAAAACCAGTGGATTAACATCAGATGAAGCTCTAGTCATATTAAAGAAAGGACTCCAGGATCCTAATATAGCCTTTATATACCACTGCCAGAATCATTACTTCTGTCCTATTGGTTATGAAGATACTCCATGTAAAGCTGAGCAGGCTTACAGGTAAAAATATCTTAATCACCTTTATATACCATTGCTTGCAAGGAAAGCATATGAAATTAGACATTATGAAAATATGTGTAACGATTGCCAATGAGTTAACTATCACCCACAGACCAAAAGATGAGGATGTGATCAACCATGGGTCATGGTACTGTCATCAACAATGAATAAAAACCATACTGTATAGTTGGCTATTAAAGGCCCTATCATGACGAAATGTGATACAATTCAAACATGAAAACCAACTGCCTGAATTGTGCTTAAACGAAAAAAAAAAAATATGACAGACAGCAACCAATATAACCACTGAATTGCAGGCTCCTGACTTGGGACAGATGCTGAAAGAATTTGGTAGGGTTAAAAATATTTTTGAGCACTCAACCCTCCCCTAACATGGGACAGTGGTAACAACACACCATTACAACCACTTGTAAAAATCAGTTGGATAGGGCTTGAATCATCAGCACAAATCACAAAAAACAACAAACAAAATGACAAGACAAAAATTACCCATCTAGGAGTTCTCACAGTTACTAAAAGCTAGTTCAAAGCAAATTACATATACTTTATAAATTATTGTTTGTTTTCAGTAGTGAATTATCAGAGGAAGATTGTAACACATGGCTATTAATAGGAGATCCTAGTAAACGACACCCATGTATACATTGTAAACGGTCAGTACTTGAAAGAATTAAGAAAATTTAATTTTAGGTCCATCAATCATTAGTGAAGAATAAAAGACTACCGGTAATGTGCATACAGGAAATAGATGCATGTATCTGACTGTCAATTCACTTGTCTGATTTTTCTTCTTTGTAATATACCATTGTGACAATTATTGTATAATTTTTTTCAATTGTACAAAGAATCAAGCTATAATGGCTTTTTTAAGTGATCTTAAGTGTACAACCTATTCACACAAATTTTTGAACACACGAATCAGATGATTCAAGATTACTATGGCTTTTTTTAATTTATTATTTAGCAACATTTAAAGGTATGTTTTGGTCTTTTGCACTATGCATTTATGTTAGGTTTGTGAGTATAGGTTTACTGTGGCAACTTTAAATTTATGGATCCCATCTTTTTTCTAAAGGACGGATAAACATGGCCTGTAAATACAAATTTTAAGATGAAAATTGAAAGCCTACAACAGCAACAAAAACACATTAGTTCTCATTAACTTCTATGGAAAGTACATTTTCATTTTCTTTGAAGCTATTTGGTAAATCTAACCAAACTTTCCGGAGAAAATACAATGAAAGTATTTAACTTTAAAAGGTATGAGACTGTTAGAAAATGATATTTAGATGGTTCATGTCATTAGATGTTGGGACATGTTTTAAACATGAAGATAGAAAACTGTTATCTTTTTTTTTTTCATTTGCAGATGGGAAGATATATCAGTAGATCTCAATTGCACGAATCCAGATTATGTTGATATACGACGGCTGGAAAAGGGACTACAAAAACGTAATACTAAAAAAGTTGGTGGAAACTTGCATTGTATAATGGCATTTCAAAAATGCCAAATGCCTCAGACCCATGCTTCACGCAGAACTCAAATTCCTGTTTTAGGAGGTGCTGTGAAAAGATCCTCCTCTGGAGGAAGACCAAATACAAGCCCTGCTAGAAGTTGCAGTCCACCACAACCAGTTGGAGGTTCCCCCATAAGCCCTGCTAGTCCTAGTTCTTCTCGTTTCGGTTTTATTCAAAAGGATATCAAAAGTGGATCAGAATCTGCATTTAACTTTCAGAACAAGAACCAAGATCATATAAAAAAGAATCCTAATGACTTAGATTATGAAAAATTGATAGCAAGCCAAATTAACAACGAAGATGAAGATGAAGTCTGTGAGGATGACACAGAAACTGAATCGGTTATAAGTAATGACTGATGTTATTTTTTAGGCTGTGTTATACCATTAAAAAAATTTTTGTTACAAAAATATCACGCTAAAAAAATCTTATATTGACATGGAAAATTTAGGCAGATACTTTAGAAAAATGTCCTGTTTCAGGATTCAAAATGTGCCATATTTTTCTTGGATATTTTAAAACTCCTTCCACTTTCTGGTGTTGTTTTTGATTGCAAAGAACATATTTTTTGGTCACACATATCAACATTTGACTATTTCATCATGTCAGATTGCAGAAACAGGTTTATTATTTTGCCAGATATGTATAAAATGAAATGGTTTTTTTGTAAAGTAGTTTTTTACTTTTTTCATACATATACGGTAGAAAAGATTTGTATATTAATTACCAGCAATCAGCCATTGCATAAATGGACATTTTGTGTTTATAAGCATGACTCACGTGTTCATTGTGACTGTATGTAATGTATTCATATGGTATAGTCTATGGCAGAAGATTATAGTGGAATCCTATTTATGGATCAGCATCATATAATTTATATGCATGTATTTTAAGATTTGTATCAATTTCTCACTGTTTTAAAGTATATATTTGTTTTCTTTAGCTTGATTTTTTTTGGTTTGAAATATGACATCTACAGACAAGACAAAAAAAATAACAAATGAAGAGATAAAAATTGATCAGGTCAATATTTTCCACAACTAAAAAGATCAAAGATATTTTTGGCTTAATTTTGGAGGCTGAGGAATGTTACAGAACATTGAATGTTCACAGTAAATAATGTGCTGACTTTCAGTTTATGATAATGGTTTTTGCATAATAAACTATATGCTGTATGCATGACAATAGTTAACGGGAGGCAATTGTTAATGTTGATTAAATTTGAGATATTTTTGTGAAATGCAATTTCCATTTGAATCTATTTATTATTATCTCACAGTAATTGTACTTGATTATCTTATTATACATATCCAATACTAATAAAAGTATTATTATTATGAAGTATACTGAGTTTGCCTATCATTCAAGTGCAGTTTTTGTTTACATGTACCTGACATTGTTAATAGGGTTAGTATGGGCTATTACCATTAGATGGCACTCCTCATCATTTAACATTTTGAAAAAAATATCCTCTCATAATATTTTCTCAGTTGAAACAAAAGTGGACCAAAATCATTTTTAGGGTGCCTCTTTTTAAGTTTATTCAAAAGTTCAAGTTGATCTTTATGATATATAGAACATAATTACAATACACCAAGTGGGTCATTTTTGTTTGCAGTCAGTTACAAAAACACTGTCCATATGCATTGTAACAGAAAGAGTCTGATATAAATAATGAATATTGACTGATTTAGTATTTAGGTATTTAAAATTAGAAAAAGAAAATTTCATCATGAATAACTAGTGGTAATACAACTGTACTAGGAAGAGGCAAAGAATTATGTAACCAGTAATCTGTGCATAGTCAAGTAGCAGAAAACACTATTTCAGAGGCTGTCATTTGACTTGTCTTGGTTGGAACCTACAAGTTTTGCATTGATGCTAGCACAAGACAATGATTTTTTTTGAAGCAACTGATAACTTGCTAATTTTATGTTGATGGCATATCTTAAGAGGTGCAGATTTAGTCAAAATTATTGTATCTAAGAAGCTCCTGAAATATTTCTGGACCATTCAGGATATCCATAAATCATCAAGGAACTGCTGAAATATTTCAGGAGCTCCATAACACCTGAGAGAGCATACTTTTTTCATTGTTTTAAGTACGAATACCCAATGTCACAAAATCCCAAAAGACACCTACAGGCCAACATTCGGTCTTCAACAATTGACATATGTCTTTACAATATGTCAAGCTATAAATAGCCAAGAATCTATAAAATTGTAAATAAATTAATAACAGGTACTATCAAAGATCTGCCAACAGGACCTTTTTAAGTTTTAAAGTAGTTACACACCCATGGAAAAGTAAATAATGTGGAAAATTACATTTTAAGCTCACTCTCACCTACATTTCTTGTTGGATAATCGGTGTTGTTTACATATTTTTCCTGGAATTATGCCCCTTTGCAAATAAAAAATATGAAAATCTGCATTGTTAGTGTTCTTTCACCTTTAATTTAAAGATAATTTTTAAGAAAAGTTTTTAGTAAAATAATTACTGAAGTTATTGCAGAAAAACATATAAAACATTTTAATCTGCTTCCAACAATAAATTAGCAAATTGATGTTTATCCACCATAAATCAATCTAGACACAATGAAGAAACAACAACAGTTTAACGATTGTCCACTGATCGAGAACTGTAGCAACACATAGGGATTTCTTCTGTAGTCTTGCTTTGTTGCCATTCACATCACACTTTGTCAATCCACAGCTCCTTGATTAAACTTATTAGGGAATTCAACCAAACATGCATAGATTCTTCTACAGAATTCTATTATATGAGAGATTTTAGTTTTCCCATACCTAGAGTTCCCACCATATCTTTAAAACTGGAAAAGGCTTGGAATTCCATTCAGTTGTTCTAGGACTGGAACAGACCTTGAATTCACAAAATCCTGGAAAACTCAATTTGATAGCATCAGAGACATATATTGTATTATATGTCTCTGATATCATGCATGTATGAAGCAGACAGGATTATTGTGTCTGTGATTATTTAAACAACTGTTATTTTAATCATATTTATCAGAATTAGAAAAGTTACAAAGGAAACAATAACACATTATGTTTGGAATCCAGTACATTTTCGGTGTATAAGGATTAAGACGCCATCTAATTTACATTAAGATTACCTCTGAAGATTGCCAGTGGTCATGTAACCCTGATTAAACATTAATAGAAAGATAAGTGAGTGCACAGTATAATGATGATTTTCCTAGGACTATGTTTGATTTCATGTCATAGATTAAAAAGATGTGAAATAGCATAAGAATGATTTTGCAAGAAGAATTAGTCAAAGAAATATGTCTTCAAGCTTGGCACCCTTGTTTCACTTTTCAGCTGTGTTATTGTTTTCTTTTTAATAATTGAGCTTGCTGAGCACATGTGCAACTCAGCTCCACCTGAGGTCAAATCATAGGTCTCATGCATAGGGATCGGAATTAGGTTGAAATTGTCAGAGCAAAACTGACAAGGGCATAATGATAAGCAGGTCAAGTTCTATCTACCATGAAATTTTCAGAATAATTGGAAAACCTATTTTGGATTAATTGTCCCTTAAATGTCAATTTTTAGCAAATTAATTATAACAAACAAAGAGCAATATAGAACAGCGAAAATGACCAGAACAATAAGATCTACCGTTACAAGTCAACTTGACAGAATTAGTCATGTGTTTTTTGCAGATACTTTAGAAGATAGAGAAAATCTTTCAAAATTAAAATGCTCAGCAAATAAGATCTACAAATAAGTCTACATGGATAAAATGTTCAATTATACCCTTACATGAGTTATTGCCCGTGTAAGTTGTTTTTACCCATTTTATGTGTTTTCTTGCAGAAACTGTAATAGATTGAGAAAAAATTGTTTAAACAATAAAGTTAAATAAGATCTAAAATAAGTTAACATTGCCAAAATCAATCAATTGAACCCTTATAAAGGTGATTGCCCTTGAATGATGATTTTTCCAGAAACTATAATAGATTCAGAGAAACAGTAAAAGTGTTCAGCAAAATAAAATCTACAAATAGCTTAAGCGGGCATGACAATAACATCGATCGACCCCTTATAGGAGTTATTGTTCTTGAAAGAAAGTGTTCCCTATTTTTTGCGTTTTTGTGCAGAAACTATAAAAGATAGTGTTATTTAATTTCTCTCAATGTACAGCTAAGCACCTCTAAATAATACACCTTTTTTTTATTTGTGTGACATGCACAACTTTTCCATTTGACATTTCTCATTGTGAATGGGTGCGAATATTTTTTTATTGTTATTTATTTTTAACAGGTGTACCAGTACATGGTCTTCAACACTATATCAAAATATCAAAAATGTTCATCAAAATTAGATCTTCAAATAAGTCAAATGGCCAAAATCATCAATTGACTCTTTATAGGAGTTAATACCCTTTTTTATGGTGCATTTTTTTCAAAAACTCTAGCTGGTAGAGAGAAACTTTTAAAAGCAAAATAAGATCTACAAGTAAGTCAACATGGCCACATTGTAAGACTCCTTATAGGATTCATTCACTTAAGATGTCAGATGATTTTTAGCTCGCTTGGCCTTTGCATTCTTTGCCTACTATCTTAAAAAATATGATGGATAAAAAGAAACTTTAAAAAGCAAATATGATCAGCAAGATAAGATCAACATGACCAAAATTGTAAGTTGACTCCTTGTTGAAGTAATGGCCCTTTGATGATGATTTTTCCCATTTTTTCCTATTCTTGCTTTATATTATCTTGAAAACTGTAATAGATAGAAAGAAACTTTAAATAGCAAAAAAGATCTGTAAATAAGCCATATGGTAGAAATCTTCAGTCGACTCATTATTGGAGTTGATACCTTTTAATGATAATTTTCACATTTTTTTGATAAAAAAATAAATAGATAAATAGAAACTTTAGAAAGGAAAAATTATCAGCAGGATAAGATCTACAAATATGTCAACATGACTGAAATTGTCAGTTAACTCGTTATAGAGTTATTCCCCTTTAATGATGATTTTTACTTAAAAGTGGCCATTGTTGAAGATGCAGGTGAGTGACACAGGCTCTTTAGAGCCTCTAGTTTTGTGTTATTGCCTTATATCTTAAAAACTATAACAGCTGTAGATAATCTTTAAAAGCAAAAATGATCTGCACAACAGGATCTACAAATAAGTAACCATAGCCGAAATCCTCAGTTGACTCCTTATCAGAGTAATAGCCCTTTAATGATGATGTTTACCAATTTTTTCGTATAAACCTAATATCTTAAAAACTATAACAGATAGATAGAAACTTTAAAAAGCAAAAAAGATCAGCAAGACAAGATCTACAAATCGGTCAACATACCTGAAATTGTAAGTCAATTCCTTATTGAAGTCATTGCCCTTTAAAGATGATTTTCCGCATTTTTCCAATTTTTGCCTATCATTTTGAAAACTGTAATAGATGGATAGAAATCTAAATAGCACAAATGATCAGCAAGACCAGATCTACAAATGTGCTATAATGGTCAAAAACTTCAGTCGACTTGTTATTTGAGTTATTACCCTTGAATGATAATTTTTGACATTTTTGTGCATTTTTGCCTATTGAAAACTATAATAGATAAATAGAAACTAAAAAGGAAAAATTATCAGCAGGATTAGGTCTACAAACATGTCAACATGACTAAAATTGTTAGTTAACTCTTAATAGAGTTATTCCCCTTTTATGATGATTTTTTACCAAAAAGTGGCCATTGCTAAAGATGCAGGTGAGCCTCTAGTTTCTTCTTCTTATTCCAAATACTGCTCACATTCAACATGATGAATATTCTGGCAAGTTGCGCATGGTTAAAAACTAGTTAAAAACAAATTGTTGAGTTGATCATTTAGAGTTGTTGGTCACTTGAGACTTGATTATCTCAAGAGACTTTCACTTTGCTGTGGCGATATCTGGAGGCAGTTTGTTCCAATCCTTGACAATGTTTACATAGAAGATCCAATCTTTGGTTGCTGGCTGTAATTGGTAAGTATGACGTCATGTCTGACTGGAGCTTCTTGTTGGTTTTTGTAGGTATTTGCTCTTGTCTATGACATCAAGGTCGTTTTTTATTTTGTAGCACATGATGAATTCTCATTTTGTTTATAAGCTTTTCCATCCAAATTCATTTATCATATTGCTTACACTTGACCTATTTCTATGTCTGCTGGTTACAAATCGTGCAGCTCGACTTTGTATTTTTTCAAGTTTATCTATAGTTTTATTTATTTCTAAAATTTTGTCAATTATTTCGATACTTTGATAAATAATTGTAAACTGGAAACAGTAAAATGATGATCTACATAAATGCCACTAAATAAGATTTACAAATAAGCAAACATTACTGATTAAAATAAAAGTAAAATAGAATATTGAATGAGATGGCATATTTTCACTGTTCATGCCCAATACACGTTCGCACCCCACATGTTCTCCCCCTGTGTACGTTAACACCCTTCTTTTTAATTCAAAAACCTGATGAATAATAAGGTGTTGATATAAAATTATTTTTATTTTCATAAATAAAAATTCAGGAATTTTTAAATGAAATATTGTTTCAAATTGATTTGATGATTAATTATTATATGTTAATTATGTATGATTACTGTTAATATGGTGTTTACACAAGTATCAGGTCGTTCTGGCCCCAAACCGATCAGGCCCCAAGTCGATCCAGTGTCAAGTCGATCTGTCCCAAGTCGATCGGTGGCATGTCAAACCGGCCCCATGTCGATCCAGTCCCATAATAAAATAATGAATAATTTATATTAACTTTGGAGGATTTGGTGACATATTTGAATCAAGAAAAGGAAATTTGTAAAAAAAGTATCAATGATTAATGACACCAGGTAAGTGAAGTATGCCTAATATTGGAGTAATATTCAGATGAAGTATTTCAAATCGATACGAAAATGAGTATGATTGTTACTGTTTGTAAAGCAGCATCAGCATGTAAATGTGAAGTTATTTTCCATGATAACTTGGAATATCATGGGGAAAAAAGTTTTTATTTAATTCACACATAGAAGAGATATATAAATAGATATTTTATATTAAAATAATATTATACTATATGAAATCTTAAAAATAAATTTTATAAAAATATTCAAATAAATGTCTCATCTTATGAAAATTAAATATTCAAATATTCAAAAAAGCCATTTTTTTTTTACCGTCCACCTTTATTATATTATTATAAAATTCATAAACATTTATGAATTACAATTCAAATATATCTTTATTTTTATTCCTTATAAATATTTTTTTTATATTGGGGCCGAACCGACTTTAAATATGGGGCCGGATCCACATGAAAGCTTTACACAGATAAACTTGGTGTTATTGTTATGTGTTTGAAAATTGTGATTGTTGTTTTAACCAGCTTTGATGTAAATTCTGCATGTACTTAGCATGTTTTTAGCTTGGTATGAGTAAAAACAATGAAGATTCAAAATGTTAGTGTTGTTGAGTTTAATAACGGTTTGGTATCTTAACATTAAAAAAATATTCGACACAAAAAACCTTTTTAGAAAGTCACTTTATTTTGAAACAATGAAAAAAAATATTATAGCAATACACTAACCAAAACACGATTAAAAAAATATTCAACACAAAAAACATCACTTTATTTTGAAACAATGAAAAAAAACTTTTTTATACCAAACAATAACCAAAACATGATTGAAAAAATAATTCAACACAAAAATCGTTTTAAGAAAGTCCAAAAAAAATATTTATAGCAATACACTAACCAAAAAACAATTGAAAAATTATTTTATATTAATATTTGTATATTACGAAGGCATACTGGATATTTTACGGAGGGAACCAACCTAGGCAGCCTCTTGCTTAAATAATCATTGGGTATCCCATTCATATGTTGATCTCCATTTCAACATGATTGTGATATAATTGATTGGCTTGAATTAAAACTAAATTTGCAAATAAAAAGTCAACATTTCAGAAATATACCAATTTCAATATTTGAAAATAAATCCTTCTTTTATTCATTCTTTCTTTTATGCACACCCCTGTATATTGATATTTCCGGTGTAGAAAAGGACAATTTACAGACGAAATGTTTACGTTATTCTGGTGGGATCAAGGAAAGAAGCATTATCTTGTACTGACAACCATTGTCATCCTCCGAACTGCTTATTCATTGCGTTTAGAAAAGCTTGATTTCTAGTAAATATCTTAGAACCCGTTTCCTTTTGAAAAAGAACTCTTACATGTTTCCCTCACGTGGAAAAACCACAAATTATTTATGAAAAATTACATCACATACCAGTTTAGCTTACAGTTGAAACAAAAATAAGAAATGATACATTATCAGTTTCATAGTGAACTTAAAATTTTGTGTTTTTCTTCCTCATGGGATCATACAAATATCGAAGTGTACTGAACAGTTCTAGCTTTCACGTAACTTGATGTAAAGTGAAACACTTGGTTGCTTTTAAGGAGAATGGAGAATGACAAACACAGGTCTTCTTCAGATCTTGGTTTATCTCAGCCATTGGGATTTCAGGATTTTGATTTGCAAGAAAATCATATATGGTGTGATCAGTGCAAAAGTCTTAAACAGGTAAGTTCATACCAACGATTTTGATTCTACTTGAGAGAATCGTCTGTAAGTAATTTTTGTATTTGCAGTTTCTATTATTTGAGTAAAATCACTGATAGCATCTGTAAGAAAGCAACCAACACGATGAGCTTCTTAAACAGAAATCTATTATATAACATAAGAACCACAACACCTCATCTGTCACAGACATGCTAGAGAAATAAGAATGGGTGAATGAAATCAAGAGTAGTACTATTGTACAAAATCATAAATGGGTTAGTCCTCAAAGATGCATCTGAAAGAGTAATCATACCAACACGATTTTAGTCGAAATAGCAGTTCCTTTCAAGTATCATCTTGCAGCATAGTTGCTTGAATGGAATCATTTTATCAAAGAACAATTCAAGTCTGGAATAATATAAATCAGTTTTTTTTACTATCACATTTTGATATGTACAGCACCATTTGTTTGTTTTGTTAATTTGTTATTGTTGTTTTAATTTCTTGTTACATGTAAGTATGTGCACACAGTTTTTGACCATAAATGGCAGAATAATTAGAAATGATGGCTGCCACAAAAATGCTTAAGCAGAAACAGAAGCATACCTGCCAACTTTAATGATTAAGGAGGAACTACATGATTTTTACCCATTGTCTCAAAATACAGGATCTTGATCATGAAAACAGTAATTTTTTGTTCAACATGTTCAACATGTTCACAGTAAACATTTGTTATGTTTGTTATGTAACTAGATTTAACTTAAGAAAGAGTTTATAAATTTCAAAATAATTACAGTAAAAAAATTACACATTCAAATATGTTCTTTTATGTAGCTTCTGTGTTTCCCTATGGTTCTGATGGTATAAGGCATAATGGTATACTGTTGCCATGATATTTTTACCACTATTGTATAAAAAAATCCATAGGTTTAATTATGCTAATTGGTTTGCTCTTATCTTTGCATTTAGATGCTGTTTTAAAATTTCCTCATGTGTAGGTCAGGAGACTCTCTGAAATTTCTTCAGGGATATACAGTGTATACATGTACATACATATTTTGTACATGTACATTGTATTACATGTAATTCATGTATAGTATTTGCATGAACTTCACATTCATTTGACATTGTCAAAAATGTTCATTTCTTCTTTCAGGAATTAAAAAAACTGCAAGATGAACATGCCTTGAATTACAGCACTCTTAAGAAGAAGATAATATCAACAGAGTAAGTCCAACATCTTGATCTGTGTTATAAATACAAAATGTTATCAGCTAAAAACTTATTTATACTATTAAAATGTATATACATAGAACAAATGGCAAAAGTGAACAAAGGTCATGAAGGTTGCATTCACTTGGAACATCAATAAGATAATGTAATTTTAAAGAAATACATGTACATAAAAATGTAATGAAAAAACAAACAACCAACAAATATTATATATGCAAAATAAAAGCAATTGAACATTTTTTTTAATTGTTTTACTGTTGCTTATATCTGTCAATGGATCATTTATTTTTTTTATGACCCAATTTTCCATAAATAAAAAGAGATGGGGGTTGTATGACAATGATACAGCGATCCAACGACAAATTAAAAAGAATACATCAAGAGGGCAACATACAATAGAGCCTTTAAAACTAGATAGGTGTCTGAACTATATTTCAAACTCAGATGTGACCTAGACATGTATGACAACCACTGACAATTTTCCTGACTTGGGACAGACACATAAATATGTGAATGGGTTATACAAATGTATGTGACGTCTAACTTAGGAGGTAAGACTGGTTACAAATGCAAATATCAGTATTTATTTCTCTACAAATAATCCAGCATCATCTTATTATTGTTATGACGACTGTGATATATAGTACTTATAATATTTTTAGTAACAAATGGTAAAATAATTTATCTTTTATATTTATGTTTCTGTTTCAGTTTGCTGATAAAGAAGTACAAGTCTAAGTGTGATGATATCCTTTTGTTATTTACGACTTACGTCCTGATTATACTCCTGCTCTGTAACTTGGCATGTTATACTGGTTTTACTCTGTCCCTCCATGCATCTGTCCATATAACATTTCTGTCTCATTTTTCTCAGCAACTACAAGTCATAGCTTCTTGATATTTGGTACCAAGCTTAATATTTGTACCCTATATCCTGTGACACATTTCAGATCCCTCACTTTCCTACTTTGTAGTTGCCAGATACATGTATGATTATATTCTTCACGTTGATGAGTATGAAGTTTTCCTAGTTGCCAGATACATGTATGATTTTGTTCTTCACGTTAAAGTGTATGAAGTTTTCCTAGTTGTCAGATACATGTATGATTTTATTCTTCACGTTAATGTGTATGAAGTTTTCCTAGTTGCCAGATACATGTATGATTTTGTTCTTCACGTTAATGTGTATGAAGTTTTCCTAGTTGCCAGATACATGTATGATTATGTTCTTCACGTTAATGTGTATGAAGTTTTCCTAAGTTGCCAGCTGCAGATACATGTATGATTTTGTTCTTCACGTTAATGTGTATGAAGTTTTCCTAAGTTGCCAGATACATGTATGATTTTGTTCTTCACGTTAATGTGTATGAAGTTTTCCTAGTTGCCAGATACATGTATGATTATGTTCTTCACGTTAATGTGTTTGAAGTTTTCCTAGTTGCCAGATACATGTATGATTATGTTCTTCACGTTAATGTGGATGAAGTTTTCCTAGTTGTCAGATACATGTATGATTTTGTTCTTCACGTTAATGTGAATGAAGTTTTCCTAGTTGTCAGATACATGTATGATTATGTTCTTCACGTTAATGTGGATGAAGTTTTCCTAGTTGCCAGATACATGTATGATTATGTTCTTCACGTTAATGTGGATGAAGTTTTCCTAGTTGTCAGATACATGTATGATTATGTTCTTCACGTTAATGTGTATGAAGTTTTCCTAGTTGCCAGATACATGTATGATTTTGTTCTTCATGTTAATGTGTATGAAGTTTTCCTAGTTGCCAGATGATTTTGTTCTTCACGTTAATGTGTATGAAGTTTTCCTAGTTGCCAGATACATGTATGATTTTGTTCTTCACGTTAATGTGTTTGAAGTTTTCCTAGTTGCCAGATACATGTATGATGATGTTCTTCACGTTAATGTGTTTGAAGTTTTCCTAGTTGCCAGATACATGTATGATTATGTTCTTCACGTTAATGTGTATGAAGTTTTCCTAGTTGCCAGATACATGTATGATTTTGTTCTTCACGTTAATGTGTATGAAGTTTTCCTAGTTGTCAGATACATGTATGATTATGTTCTTCACGTTAATGTGTATCAAGTTTTCCTAGTTGCCAGATACATGTATGATTATGTTCTTCACGTTAATGTGTATGAAGTTTTCCTAGTTGCCAGATACATGTATGATTTTGTTCTTCACGTTAATGTGTATGAAGTTTTCCTAGTTGTCAGATACATGTATGATTATGTTCTTCACGTTAATGTGGATGCAGTTTTCCTAGTTGCCAGATACATGTATGATTATGTTCTTCACGTTAATGTGGATGAAGTTTTCCTAGTTGTCAGATACATGTATGATTATGTTCTTCACGTTAATGTGTATGAAGTTTTCCTAGTTGTCAGATACATGTATGATTATGTTCTTCACTTTAATGTGTATGAAGTTTTCCTAGTTGCCAGATACATGTATGATTTTGTTCTTCACTTTAATGTGTATGAAGTTTTCCTAAATGCCAGATGATTTTGTTCTTCACGTTAATGTGTATCAAGTTTTCCTAGTTGCCAGATACATGTATGATTATGTTCTTCACGTTAATGTGTATGAAGTTTTCCTAGTTGCCAGATACATGTATGATTTGTTCTTCACGTTAATGTGTATGAAGTTTTCCTAGTTGCCAGATACATGTATGATTATGTTCTTCACGTTAATGTGTATGCAGTTTTCCTAGTTGCCAGATACATGTATGATTATGTTCTTCACGTTAATGTGTATGAAGTTTTCCTAGTTGTCAGATACATGTATGATTTTGTTCTTCACGTTAATGTGTATGAAGTTTTCCTAGTTGCCAGATGATTTTGTTCTTCACGTTAATGTGTATGAAGTTTTCCTAGTTGCCAGATACATGTATGATTTTGTTCTTCACGTTAATGTGTTTGAAGTTTTCCTAGTTGCCAGATACATGTATGATATTGGTTCTTCACGTTAATGTGTTTGAAGTTTTCCTAGTTGCCAGATACATGTATGATTATGTTCTTCACGTTAATGTGTATGAAGTTTTCCTAGTTGCCAGATACATGTATGATTTTGTTCTTCACGTTAATGTGTATGAAGTTTTCCTAGTTGTCAGATACATGTATGATTATGTTCTTCACGTTAATGTGGATGAAGTTTTCCTAGTTGCCAGATACATGTATGATTATGTTCTTCACGTTAATGTGGATGAAGTTTTCCTAGTTGTCAGATACATGTATGATTATGTTCTTCACGTTAATGTGTATGAAGTTTTCCTAGTTGTCAGATACATGTATGATTATGTTCTTCACGTTAATGTGTATGAATATTTCCTAGTTGCCAGATACATGTATGATTTTGTTCTTCATGTTAATGTGTATGAAGTTTTCCTAGTTGCCAGATACATGTATGATTTTGTTCTTCATGTTAATGTGTATGAAGTTTTCCTAGTTGCCAGATACATGTATGATTATGTTCTTCACGTTAATGTGTATGAAGTTTTCCTAGTTGCCAGATACATGTATGATTATGTTCTTCACGTTAATGTGTATGAAGTTTTCCTAGTTGCCAGATACATGTATGATTATGTTCTTCACGTTAATGTGTATGAAGTTTTCCTAGTTGCCAGATACATGTATGATTATGTTCTTCACGTTAATGTGTATGCAGTTTTCCTAGTTGCCAGATACATGTATGATTATGTTCTTCACGTTAATGTGTATGAAGTTTTCCTAGTTGTCAGATACATGTATGATTATGTTCTTCACGTTAATGTGGATGAAGTTTTCCTAGTTGCCAGATACATGTATGATTATGTTCTTCACGTTAATGTGGATGAAGTTTTCCTAGTTGCCAGATACATGTATGATTATGTTCTTCACGTTAATGTGGATGCAGTTTTCCTAGTTGCCAGATACATGTATGATTATGTTCTTCACGTTAATGTGGATGAAGTTTTCCTAGTTGTCAGATACATGTATGATTATGTTCTTCACGTTAATGTGTATGAAGTTTTCCTAGTTGTCAGATACATGTATGATTATGTTCTTCACGTTAATGTGTATGAAGTTTTCCTAGTTGCCAGATACATGTATGATTTTGTTCTTCATGTTAATGTGTATGAAGTTTTCCTAAATGCCAGATGATTTTGTTCTAACGTTAATGTGTATGAAGTTTTCCTAGTTGCCAGATACATGTATGATTATGTTCTTCACGTTAATGTGTATGAAGTTTTCCTAGTTGCCAGATACATGTATGATTTGTTCTTCACGTTAATGTGTATGAAGTTTTCCTAGTTGCCAGATACATGTATGATTATGTTCTTCACGTTAATGTGTATGCAGTTTTCCTAGTTGCCAGATACATGTATGATTATGTTCTTCACGTTAATGTGTATGAAGTTTTCCTAGTTGTCAGATACATGTATGATTTTGTTCTTCACGTTAATGTGTATGAAGTTTTCCTAGTTGCCAGATGATTTTGTTCTTCACGTTAATGTGTATGAAGTTTTCCTAGTTGCCAGATACATGTATGATTTTGTTCTTCACGTTAATGTGTTTGAAGTTTTCCTAGTTGCCAGATACATGTATGATATTGGTTCTTCACGTTAATGTGTTTGAAGTTTTCCTAGTTGCCAGATACATGTATGATTATGTTCTTCACGTTAATGTGTATGAAGTTTTCCTAGTTGCCAGATACATGTATGATTTTGTTCTTCACGTTAATGTGTATGAAGTTTTCCTAGTTGTCAGATACATGTATGATTATGTTCTTCACGTTAATGTGGATGAAGTTTTCCTAGTTGCCAGATACATGTATGATTATGTTCTTCACGTTAATGTGGATGAAGTTTTCCTAGTTGTCAGATACATGTATGATTATGTTCTTCACGTTAATGTGTATGAAGTTTTCCTAGTTGTCAGATACATGTATGATTATGTTCTTCACGTTAATGTGTATGAAGTTTTCCTAGTTGCCAGATACATGTATGATTTTGTTCTTCATGTTAATGTGTATGAAGTTTTCCTAGTTGCCAGATGATTTTGTTCTTCACGTTAATGTGTATGAAGTTTTCCTAGTTGCCAGATACATGTATGATTATGTTCTTCACGTTAATGTGTATGAAGTTTTCCTAGTTGCCAGATACATGTATGATTATGTTCTTCACGTTAATGTGTATGAAGTTTTCCTAGTTGCCAGATACATGTATGATTATGTTCTTCACGTTAATGTGTATGAAGTTTTCCTAGTTGCCAGATACATGTATGATTATGTTCTTCACGTTAATGTGTATGCAGTTTTCCTAGTTGCCAGATACATGTATGATTATGTTCTTCACGTTAATGTGTATGAAGTTTTCCTAGTTGTCAGATACATGTATGATTATGTTCTTCACGTTAATGTGGATGAAGTTTTCCTAGTTGCCAGATACATGTATGATTATGTTCTTCACGTTAATGTGGATGAAGTTTTCCTAGTTGTCAGATACATGTATGATTTTGTTCTTCACGTTAATGTGTATGAAGTTTTCCTAGTTGCAAGATACATGTATGATTATGTTCTTCACGTTAATGTGTATGCAGTTTTCCTAGTTGTCAGATACATGTATGATTATGTTCTTCACGTTAATGTGTATGAAGTTTTCCTAGTTGTCAGATACATGTATGATTATGTTCTTCACGTTAATGTGTATGAAGTTTTCCTAGTTGCCAGATACATGTATGATTTTGTTCTTCATGTTAATGTGTATGAAGTTTTCCTAGTTGCCAGATGATTTTGTTCTTCACGTTAATGTGTATGAAGTTTTCCTAGTTGCCAGATACATGTATGATTATGTTCTTCACGTTAATGTGTTTGAAGTTTTCCTAGTTGCCAGATACATGTATGATTATGTTCTTCACGTTAATGTGGATGAAGTTTTCCTAGTTGCCAGATACATGTATGATTTTGTTCTTCATGTTAATGTGTATGAAGTTTTCCTAGTTGCCAGATGATTTTGTTCTTCACGTTAATGTGTATGAAGTTTTCCTAGTTGCCAGATACATGTATGATTATGTTCTTCACGTTAATGTGTATGAAGTTTTCCTAGTTGCCAGATGATTTTGTTCTTCACGTTAATGTGTATGAAGTTTTCCTAGTTGCCAGATACATGTATGATTATGTTCTTCACGTTAATGTGTATGAAGTTTTCCTAGTTGCCAGATACATGTATGATTATGTTCTTCACGTTAATGTGTATGAAGTTTTCCTAGTTGCCAGATACATGTATGATTATGTTCTTCACGTTAATGTGTATGCAGTTTTCCTAGTTGCTAGATACATGTATGATTATGTTCTTCACGTTAATGTGTATAAAGTATTCCTAGTTGCCAGATACATGTATGATTATGTTCTTCACGTTAATGTGTATGAAGTTTTCCTAGTTGCCAGATACATGTATGATGATGTTCTTCACGTTAATGTGTTTGAAGTTTTCCTAGTTGCCAGATACATGTATGATTATGTTCTTCACGTTAATGTGTATAAAGTATTCCTAGTTGTCAGATACATGTATGATTATGTTCTTCACGTTAATGTGTATGAAGTTTTCCTAGTTGTCAGATACATGTATGATTATGTTCTTCACGTTAATGTGGATGAAGTTTTCCTAGTTGCCAGATACATGTATGATTATGTTCTTCACGTTAATGTGGATGAAGTTTTCCTAGTTGTCAGATACATGTATGATTTTGTTCTTCACGTTAATGTGTATGAAGTTTTCCTAGTTGCAAGATACATGTATGATTATGTTCTTCACGTTAATGTGTATGAAGTTTTCCTAGTTGCCAGGTACATGTATGAGTTTGTTCTTCACGTTAATGTGTATGAAGGTTTCCTAGTTGTCAGATACATGTATGATTTTGTTCTTCACATTAATGTGTTTGAAGTTTTCCTAGTTGCCAGATACATGTATGATTATGTTCATCACTTAATTGTGTATGAAGTTTTGTTCCACTTTTTCAGCAATTACAAATAGCTTCTAAAAATTGTTACAAAATTTATCATTGGTAAACTGAACTATGAACTATCAAGTTTCGATTTTCTGTTTCCACATTATTTGGGAAATATATTTCATTTTATTTAAAACCAAAGCAGGAGTATAATTTATCAGTAGCTCACACCACTGTACATTTGTTCATAAATGCTAATTGAATTTCATAGTTAGTCTCCTGAATGTTTAAATTAAAGTTTTACATGGAAATTGAAATAAAAGACCAGGGCTGAATGCATAAAACCACTTAAGTTAAGATATCCAATCATATTATTAATTTATCGTAGGACATGTAGAAAAATCCATCCGTTTGGAACAAATCTGAACTTAGTAGTTTTATGCATATAAGCCCAGGTTTCTACTATGGGCAGTTACAGTAACTTATTTAATAAGTATAATTCTTACACATTTAACACTCTCTATTACAGTTGTATCTTCTCCTTCTGAAGGATCTCACACTCATATAATAAAGAAAAAATTGCATCTAAATTAGGTTATTAATGATTTAAGATGTTGTAAGATTACATTTTGATTTAGTACAGTGATATTATGAGTTAAAATATCACTCGCACTTTGTAAAACAAGAACTCCTGTACAGAACGATACCATCTGAACTAAAGATCTTTTTGCAACTTTTATGATATAGTCAGAATTAGGTAGGCGTAAGCCAAGTGACAAATTTTGATGAAAATAACCTGTTCTATGTACCATAGACTTTTAAACATTTTTGTTTATACATGTATCTTTGCACTTTATATAGAGACCAGAAAGTGTTATTTGCTCTGAAGCAATTTTTGTGGTACTATCAAAACTCCACTATTATATAATTTTTACTGCATTTTGGTGATCTTTTTTTTTTCTTGTTTAAATTTTTGGTCAACTGTCACCATAGTGAGTGTTTTAAATGCAAATTTCCTTAATAAGATACATTATGATGTTCAAAACAGGAGACATGAAGAATTCTTTAAGAAATATGAAGAACTACAAAGGTGAGTATTGATAAAATTATTTTCTACAGAAAACCGACATATATTTAGATTACATTTGAAACATACATTTTTGTACAGAGTCAAAAAGCAAGAGATAGTTATGCTGTTTCGGGCGTCGGCAGCGTCATCAACAATGTATAAGTTTGTGATTAGGTCAATTTATTGGGAACCACTAGTGGTAGGACAATGATATTTGGTATGCAGTTGAATTAGCATTGGCACATCTCATTTCCATGGAGATTATTTGACCCCGCCCTCTCAGTCATGGTCTATTGACTTTGAAACTTTTGCTTAGTTTACATGTATTAGTTTGTGATTAGGTCAGTTTATGGGGAACCACTAGTGGTAGGTCAATGATATTTGGTATGCATATGTATTAGCATTGGCACATCTCATTTCCATGGAGATTATTTGGCCCTGTACCTTCAGTCATGGTTCATTGACTTTGAATATTTTGCATAACTTACATGATAAAGTATTGCGATTTTAATTTCAACATTTGCATTTTACTATCAAAATGACAAAAAGGCGAGCCATATCTCTGTGACAAAAGTTTATTTAATATATGTACATCATATATGTATAAATATAGTTTTTGCACAGAAAGATCAAAAATGGTTTTCATAGGAAATGCTCCAACTATTTGCTCTTTATTTCAATTTGTTGATTTATTGGAAAAGCAGAATTTAACTTTCAATTCATGAAAATAGTTTTTACAAATCCTTTTAAATTTTCAGGGAATCTGAAACTTTAAATACACAACTGGGATCTACTCTTCAACAACTGGAACCATTGAGGAAGGTCAGTATAAATTTTTTTGTGTGTGGAAACTATCACAAGATATAGACTGATTTCTTCACTTTCTGGAGATCATTTAAATAAACCCTGTATAATTTACTTATTAAAAAATTCTTAAAATATGGAAATTGAAAATTCTTTAATTAATCAATATGAATAGTAATTTGTTTCAAATCTGAGGCATAGAATAATAAGAATACTGCTTTTATCAAGAAGTCACTTCATAATCCTTTAAAACCAAGAACATTAGTTATATAAAATACATAGGTCATGTAATTTATAATTAATAGTGTTTTTTCTTCTATAGGCCAAGACCATCCTAGAAGTTGACAATAAACAGAAACAACAGGAAGTACAGTCTTTAAAAGATAGACTGGCTGGTTTAGAGGTAGGTTAAGGTTATCATGATTATGGTCAAACGAATATTACAGTTATTATATATACTGGCAATATGCATGCATTTAATTTTGGTTATTCGTAGAATGAATGCAAACAAATGTTGAGACTTGAATCAAGTAATAAAATTGAGAATGGAAATGGGGAATGTGTCAAAGAGACAACAACCCGACCATAGAGCAGACAACAGCCGAAGGCCACCAATGGGTCTTTGAGTTCTCAACCCTCCCCCTATACCTCTAGCCAATGTAGAAAAAAACAAACGTATAACAGTACGCACAGTAAAACTCAGTCACGATAGTAGAGGGGGTTTTATGTTTTTCGGTCTGTGCGTCCGTTCGTCTGTCCGTCCGTCCGTCTGTTCCGCTTCAGGTTAAAGTTTTTGGTCAAGGTAGTTTTTATACGCCCGTTTACGGGTCGTATTATCGTATACCATTGTCCGTCTGTCCGTCGTCAACATGTCGGACATTAACTCAAAAATGCTTTAACCAATTTGCATAAAACTATGGTGAATTGTTTATATCTATTGACGTGAGCTCCCTTTCGTTTTTTATTAAATTTAGATTTTACGTTTCTGAGTTATGGGGTTTTATTCATTAAAAAAAGGGGGATTTTCAAGTTTTCGGACAATAAGTCAAGAATGCTTTCACCAGCTTGCAAGAAATTGTGGTGAATTGTTTATATCTATTGACATGAGTTACCTTTCGATTTTTTAAATTTTAGATTTTACGTTTCCGAGTTACAGGGTTTTATTCATAAAAAAAGGGGGGGTTTTCCAGTTTTTGAACAAAAACTCAAAAATGCTTTCAGCAATTCTTATGAAACTTTGGTGAATTGTTTGTATTTATTGCTGTAAGCTCCCTTTAGAATTTTATAAATTTTACATTTTGCATTTCTGAGTTATGGGGTTTTATTCATTAAAAAAAGGGGTAATTTTCCAGTTTTCGGACAATAACTCAAAAATGCTGTCACAAATTCTCATGAAACTTTGGTGAATTGTTTATATCTATTGATGTAAGCTCTCTTTTTATTTTCATAAATTTCTAATATGACATTGAGAATTAATTGAACTTTATTTGTTTATAGTCTTGACAACAGATTTACTAAGTATTGCACAACAGCAAGAAATCTTTAATTGAATATAAATTCAATTCATATAACCAATTTCAAGATCTTTGACTACATTTATTCAGAAACCTATAATATGTCAAATATTTAATTACAATCCAAATTCAGACCTGAATCAAGCTTGAATATTGTGTCCATTTTTGCCCCAACTGTTCAGGGTTGGACCTCTGCAGGCGTATCTAGCTGCGCTCAGCGAAGCAGTTTATTGATGAAGTTGATGGACATATTCATGTTATGTCCCACCTACGATAGTAGTAGGGGCATTAGGTTTTCTGGTCTGTGCATCCGTTCGTTCGTCCATTCGTCTGTCCTTCTGTCCCGCTTCAGTTTAAAGTTTTTGGTCAAGGTAGTTTTTGATGAAGTTGAAGTACAATCAACTTGAAACTTAGTACACATGTTCCCTATGATATGATCTTTCTTATTTAAATGCCAAATTAGAGTTTTACAACATAAATGTGAAAATGATTTGCAAAAAGTATAAAACACTATTTTAATCAACTACTTTCAAGTTTTCACAGCTCATGTGCCCGAATGAAAAATGTGAAGCCTTTTGTCTTATTTCTTTTAATAAATACACTTACATAGATAGTTCCTATGTGTCTCCTGCAATGCCATCAGAATTCTATTCATACATATTGCTCCATGCAAGTCAGAAGTAAACACATTCAACATTGTGCAAAAGTCCAATTGTACTAGGTGGGGCTTTTAGAAAACGGGAGATTCAGGTTTGACTTGGTGTTTGGTGGATCAGACATTAAGTCCAAATACTGTGTAAGATTCTAGTTTTATAATTTCAGTTGACACTGCGGCAGTATGAAGAAATGAGTAGAGAGACATCCACTTATAAAGACAGATACGATGTATTAAAGAAAGAAAACCAGAAGAAAATACAGAACTTGGAAACAATGTAATTCAAATGATAAGTTTTATTCCAGAAATTTTATTCTTGAAAAGCATTTAAAATTATTAGTATCTCCAGCATTTATAAAGCAACACATACGTAACATCATGTCTTATGATGACAATATATAGATTATCTAACTAGATATTGTTTTTTTACAGTTTATAAGCTTTTAAGTTTTTATTTTGTTGAATGTTTTTCATTTATATACTTTATGCACATTGTTAGGGATTTGTTGTAAGGGAAAGGATACTGAAATGTACCAAAGTTATGGACATTATAAAATTTTAAAATTCAGTCCTCATGTAGTGCGGTTGGTATACTACATTGACCTTGTTTATCCTTGAGTCAATCTGTCCAAACTGAAAGAATTGAGGTTTATTTACAATCAGTATAAAAAAGACCTTGTTAATGTGATAGACCAATGAAACTAATTAGTCTTTATCAACATCAACATTAAAAGATGATAATCCTTATTTCATTTTAAAATTTTAAAATTGTAAGCCAAAAATTGAAGTTTCAAAGTAAGAATCAACATTGCAATCAATAATATTCTTTTTGTCAAAATTGATATCAAGAACGAGGTCAGCCTGAGAAAGATCCAGGTTAGAATCATTTCAACATAGCACAGGTCAGTTCGCTGCTCAGTCGTCTTCATGGCGGTTAGATATGCACATTCACCATACATATGAAGAGGGTGACCTCTTTTGATCTTTTAGATTTGGTCTTATCCTTAAATGTCTTACCAAATTGTCCCATTGTGACATTTCAATTGGCTGTTCATTAGGTCAATAATTACTTTCAAAGGTCATAACATAACCTTGGCAACGGATATTTGTGATTTCTTCAGTAACATACAAAACACTCACATGTTTCAGCTGAAAATATTCTTTTTGTCAAATTTGATTCCATTTTGAAGTGTACAAAAAGCTTAAATACTTTTGATTTAACAATAGTCTGTGTTTCTGACAAAATAGTGTAAAAATTTAGTGGAGCTTTGGAAATTGAAAATATTTTACTAGAATTTTCTTTTTACCATTGAACAACTTGTTAGAATTAGATATCGTTTAATATCAACTCTTGTCATTTAATTTCAATAATAATAATAATAAAATCAGCAAAGGCTTGGTTATTATTATTATATTGAAATTCAATAACTTGGATAAGCAATATCCAATTCTCACTCATTATGAAACCTATAGTTATGATTGCTTGTCTTTTAACATTTTTGTTTTCCTGAGTCAAGAGTAAAGATCTGAACAAAATCTCCTAGAAGAATCATTTGATTTAAAATTGATTATTAGTGCTTTTCAATCACTATTGTTAAAAAATTTATAATCAAAATTTCTTTTAAATTTTCAGAAACCAGAAAAATGAAGCACTGCTGAATAAACTGAGAGGTAAGATTCTACTTTTTGATTAACCAATCAGTTTTTAGCTCACATGGGACAGTATTAAGATGCCTTTTGGTGTGAGGATTCACTACGGCATATGTCTTGTGCCACTAAAATATCTGTTTTTATAATCCCCACCTACAATCATACATGTGAACCTCCCGACGGGAGTACAATAATCCCGTTTTCAGGGGTCTCCTCCCGTCCTCCCGTTGAAGAGAAAAAAATACTGTGTATGAAATATTTCATGAATGAAACTTCAGCCACCAAATCCAGTGTAACTAACATTACCTGAAGTTAAATTTTACTTGTAAATCAAAGAACATGCATAATTATATGGCTTCACTTACCAGCTTGGGTGTCACACATACTGGTAATCAACGATTTTTACCTCAGGCTAACTACCGTTGTGTAATAAAATCTAAAATAATTGAAATAAATTTTGGGTTACTTCCCTTGATTTATGCTGTTTAAAGTTATTTTCTTTTAAATAATGTAAATTGTTAAAAAAATATAAATGAAATATAAATTGAACAAATAATCATGTAAAAGAATGGTAATAAAATGATTTTAAATGTCTAAGGACGAAATAAAAAAATATTAATTGGGAAAGTATTTTTAAGTTCTATACTTCTTTTCAAGGCTTAAATTGAAATTTATATAATAAAGTATGACCATATTTTATATGATGATCCTGTTTATTAGCATGAAAAAATGTTGCAGAATAAAGATAAAAAAAAAGTTCAATCTGCAGTGATTGTTATTAACGAATAATGATAAAACAGAAGAGACAAAAAGTTGAATTAAAGAATGTTCTAAAAAAAAAAAGAATGTTAGTTTGAATAAAGATAAAGAAAATTTAACAGTACAAGGGTACTATAAACATATTACAATCGGATGGAAAGTTGAAAAAAAAACACTTTAAAAGACTATTTCCGCATCACACAGTTTATGACAAAATGATGTTGATAAAAAACCTCCTGATCTGAGTCCTAATCTCCTGACCAAAATTTCCAAATCTCCTGTTTTCCCATTTGTTTTTCTTTCAGTCCAGTATCAGGGTTAGAGTTTTGATTTAAGGTATTTTAAAGTGTTGGTTTAGGATATTTTGTGGTCACATCAAACTTAATACACATGTTGATGACGAAGTGAACAATTTAATATAAATGCCACATTCATTCAAAAAATTACAGGTAAAAAAGTAAAGAAATTATGTGGGACAATTGAGAAGTTTAAATGTTGGACAATTGGGAATTGTTTTGATAGCAACATATATGTGTAAGTGTATAGCAGATAATTACACGTAATCAATCAATGCCTTATAAGTTTTGAAATAAACATAAAATAGTTGATGTTTACATATTTTATTTTATTTTTGTAGTATTTTGTAAACTACTGTTTCAAATTAGAAACAATATAATACAAAAAATAGAAAAAATTAAACTGGAAACTTGATAGAATAAAAAATAGACCCACAATGCCCTTTAATTACTTTTATCTTTGTCATTTAAACTCTGGAAGATAGTTGTCTCATTGGCAATCATACAATCTCCTTATTTTTATATCCAATAATGTGAGTTGTAAATGAAATAATTTGTAAATTGAAAAATTAAAAGGCATCAAAGATAAAAAAATGGGAATAAAAAAATAGATAGAGATAAGAATATTGTCACATGTTATATCATTAGGGTCACTTGTTCTCATATTGACCAGTTTGCACTGATAATGAATTTTCATAATGAAAGAAAAAAAACGTCACACACTTCCTACTAAAGATAATCTGAAGAGACGAAATTATAACATTTTCTCCACAAAATGCTCAGGTGTCACCACACCAGGCGAAGATAGCGACATATTGCCCTTGAATTCTGAACTTTGCTCTACTGAAGCTTGAAGTAGAGGTTTAAGTCACCCTTGATTTTCAGTAAATTCCCCAATGTCGCCTCATGATTTTTGAAAAATTCTGGATCCGAATGCACATGATTCCGATATTCAATGGAATAAACATGTAACCATGGCTAAAGCTATCCTTGATTATGACACAGTTATTGCTTAATAGTCAAGTGTCAAACTTTATAACCTGTTAACCAGGTAAATTTCAGGGGACTGGCATTATCTGTTCATATCACATGGGCGCACTGCATTTGCACCAATTTTTTGTCTCACTTTGACGGAGTCAAAAAGCAAGAGATAGGTATGCTGTTTCTGGCGTTTGTGGCGTCATCAACAATGTATTAGTTTGTGATTAAATCAGTTTATGGGGAACCACTAGTGGTAGTTCAATGATATGTGGTATGCAGTTCTATAAGCATTGGCACATCTTCATTTCCATGGTGATTATTTGGCCTGCCCTGTCAGTCATGGTCTATTGACTTTGAAATTTTTGCTTAGTTTACATGTATAAGGTGCTTAGGTCAGTTATTGGGGAACCACTAGTGGTAGGTTAATGATATTTGGTATGCATACTTATTAGCATTGGAACATCTCATTTCCATGGAGATTGTTTGGTTCTGTACCTTCAGTCATGGTTCATTGACTTTGAATATTATGCATAACTTATATGTTAAAGTATTGCTATTTTAATTTCACCATTTGCATATTACTATCAAAATAACAAAAAGGCGAGACATATCTCTGTGTTAACTGTTATTTAAAAATGCATTATTTCATTTGTACCACAAGGATATATTTCATTTGTGCCAAAAATAAATATTGCTTTTGTACCATTTTATGACAAAAAAAGTTTCAATGCTTGTATCAAAAATAACCCCCCTGAAAAATTAAGTGAGTTCATACCCATTCCTCATTTAAAACTGAGAGTCACTTAGTGTTCATGTTCATACTTTACCGAAAAAGAGAGTGGTTGTCATGATGTGGTGATTTATGATGAATATGTTAAATTGTACAAACAAAATAATGTTTTAAAGTTCTGATTAAAAGTCTCTTTTCTATATATATATTTATTATTTATATTCAACTGTATTATTGGCGCAAATGAAATGTTTATTTTTGACGCGAATGAAATGTGCTTTGTAGTGCAAATAAAAAGACTTTTTTTGTGCAAATGAAATGCCTGTTGGCACAAAAGCAAAGCACAGTACATGTATCACATGACCCAATTTACTTAAGTTGAAAATTCAGGTTTATTTTATTAATTGCAATCTATTCTATAAATAAAAATGCATGAATGTACCTTCAAACTGGATATCTATTTCAAAAGTTAATAAATAAAAGAAGTATCTTGCAAACATTATCCATAAACACATGTATCAATGTTTGGTTACAACTTCCTGTTATGTAGGCGGGAAAATTTGGGGATCTCCTTGTTGACGTTGTAACCTCTATAGATCTAAAAATATATTTAGAATTGTTTTTATCTGGATCATGACAAATGAACATTTAGATTTTAATACTGTATTTAGTCTATATCTAGGCCCTCAATAAAAATTTCCAGATCAGACAAGAAAAATAGATGCACATTAAATTGAACAATAAAAGTTATCCCTCCCAAGCGACTGCTTGAAAAAAATTTGAGTTTTTTGTCATGTGAATTTCTCACTAGATATGAGTAGCATGATAACTATATTTGGTATATGGGTTCCTTGTAACGTCTACATGTCTGTCAGACAGGGTTCAACTGACCTCGACCTCATTTCATGGATCAGTGATCAAGGTTAAAGTTACATGATTAGGTTAGTTTCTCAAAACTATAAGCAGTAGGTCAACTCTATGTGGTGTATGGAATGACTGTAATGGGTACAAGTCAGTCTGGTAGGTTTCATCTGACCTTGACCTCTTTTTCATGGTTGATTGGTCAATGTTAAGATTTTGTGTTTTAGTCTGTTTTTCAAGTACTATAAGCAATATGTCAACTATATTTAGTGTATGGAATGATTGTAAGGTGTACATGTCTGTCCAGCAGGTTTCATCTGACCTTGACCTCATTTTTATGGTTCATTGGTCAATGCTAATTTTTTGTCTCGCCTTGACGAAGACATAGGTATGCTGTTTCGAGCGGCGGCGGCAGCGTCAACAATGTGCTTCGTTTACATGTATTAGTTTGTGATTAGGTCTAGTTCATGGTGAACCACTAGTGGTAGGTCAATGATATTTGGTATGCAGTTGTATTAGCATTGGCACATCTCATTACCATGGAGATTATTTGGCCCCGCCCCCTCAGTCAAGGTCTATTGACTTTGAAACTTTGCTTCGTTTACATGTATTAGTTTGTGATTAGGTCTAGTTCATGGTGAACCACTAGTGGTAGGTCAATGATATATGGTATGCAGTTGTATTAGCATTGGCACATCTCATTACCATGGAGATTATTTGGCCCCGCTCCCTCAGTCAAGGTCTATTGACTTTGAAATTTTGCTTCGTTTGCATGTATTAGTTTGTGATTAGGTCTAGTTCATGGTGAACCACTAGTGGTAGGTCAATGATATTTGGTATGCAGTTGTATTAGCATTGGCACATCTCATTACCATGGAGATTATTTGGCCCCGCCGCCTCAGTCAAGGTCTATTGACTTTGAAACTTTGCTTTGTTTACATGTATTAGTTTGTGATTAGGTCAGTTTATGGGGAACCACTAGTGGTTGGTCAATGATATTTGGTATGCAGTTGTATAAGCATTGGCACATCTCATTTCCATGGAGATTATTTGGCCCCTCCCCCTCATGATGGTCTATTGACTTTGAAACGTTTGCTTCGTTTTCATGTATTAGTTTGTGATTAGGTCAGTTCAAGGGGAACCGTTAGTGGTAGGTCAATGATAATTGGTATGCAGTTGTATAAGCATTAGCACATCTCATTTCTATGGAGAATATTTGGTCCCGCCCCCCCCAGTCATGGTCTATTGACTTTGAAACTTTTGCTTAGTTTACATGTATTAGTTTGTGATTAGATCAGTTTAAGATGAACCGCTAATGTTAAGTCAATGATATTTGGTATGCAAATGTATTGGCATTTGCAAGTCTCGTTTCCATGGATTATATAGCCCCACCC